CGAGCTAAAACATGAGGACAATTGCCCAGGAACTTGAAGGTCTTGCGGATCATCTGGTGCTTGGAATTCACCGCACCGTAGGCTCCTGAATGGCAAATTGAAAAACTCACGCCAGGCAACTTCGACAACTTCAGAATCAAAGGCTCCACCCAAAGTCTACTGGTCACAGGGTTTTCGATGAGGAAGAAACGACCAGCATTGGATTGTTTAATACACCAATCCACGATCTTCTTCAGCAGCTTTCTGGCCTTGGCACGGCGCATCAAAAGAAGGATTTTGCGTCTGATGTAGTTGACATTGTCCTGAAGCAGACACCAGTCTGTGCAATCAATGCCCTGAACAAGAAACAGTGGCCTGTAAAAGTCCAACAGGTGATCCACATGGGCCTGGTGTTCTGCCTTGCTCAGGTCATAGCCTGTGTTGAAGTCAATTGGCCCCAGAGCTTTAAGTCCATAGCTCTTGGCACGGAAGGAAAGTCCAGCCCTTCCTGCAAAGGTCTCAAGCAAATCCACACGAGACCGATGCTTGTGCCGTTGGAGAGGGTTTGGATTTGAACTTGAGGTGGAAGTCAAAACCTCATGTTCAAGCTGGGCCAAATTCACAAGCTGTCGCACTGAATGACGCAAAGTCTTTCGGCCAAGGTTGGAAATCAAAGCTGCATGTGGTGGAGGCTTCAACTTGAAAACTGTTTTGCCAGTCCATGCACTTTTCATTTGGAATGCCCCGGAACTGTCACCCCATTCATAGGTGAGTGATTGGTTCCTGCCATCCTCATACTGCATCTCAACAACGCACTCCGGGCATAGTTGATGAAGGTGAATTGGGCATGGATCTGGCACTTCATAAAAATCAGCCTCACAAAACAACATCTTCCTGGGAACGTGGTGAACTCGAGTGACATATTGAGAGTCCACCTGCCACTCATCGCTCAAGCAAAGTCCTCGATCGTCATATTCACGTCCCAGCCGTGAAAGCCGTCCGGGCCTCCGTCCGAACTCGGTGGGTATGCATCCGAGTCGTAGGGAATCTCCGACTCCATCTCCGGCAAAAAGACCTGCAGGGCTTCCACCGGTCGGTGGTCGGTGGCATGGGCTTTCGGCTTCGCTCTGGCTTTCGAAGATGTCCCTTTCTTGCCACTCCTGCCCTTGCCCTTGGTTGGCATGTCCATGAATGGCAGGATGGTGGATGAGGAGGGAGGCGGCAAGTGCGAAGGTTGCAACTGAGGACTTCCATGAACCACCCAACCTTCTCTTTCCAGATCCCACTTGTACCGCTGGTGGCACCTCTTGCACTTGCTGAAGGACCCGTGCACGTTGCCGTATCGATGAAAGGCTGGATGGAGGCAAGTTGCAGGATTGACCGCCTTCATCTTTGGCGCCAGCTCCTTCTTCTGCCTTTCCAGTTCCTGTTGGTGCTCCCATGTGGTCATCCACTGTCGTGGCATCAGGCCGAATTTCACCAGCGTGGACATGGCCTTGTAGGCCCGAAAATACAACATCATCACTTTGATCACCACATTCTCCCATCGAAAGGAAGCTTCTGAGCGCCCTGCACGAAGCATTGCCGAGCGATCCGATCTGTTGGGGTGGCTGATCTCGAATTGAGCCCTTGTTGAGGATTCCGGGCGCGCATAGTAGCTCAGGATCCGGATCATGCCAAAGATCAAGATTCGACAGCTTTTTCCAACATGACATCTTTGAAACTCCATCTGAAAAATGAACAATGCTGACAGCAAGATGCCCATGACGACTAGTGAGTGGCATGCTCAACCCCAAATTGGTAAATGTCAAAGTCATGGTATGCATATCGATGACACATCCAAGTCGTTGCAAAAGAGTGCGACTTGCCAAAAAAGGAATACCAGTCTTCAAAACACTTGCACCGAAGATCACTCCCTGGGATTCCTGGCCTTGCATCGAAGCTGGAAAGTAGGCTCTTGTCGAAGACACCACTGGAGCTCCTGAGCCAAACTGGAAGTGGTCGGTGCAGTCAAACATCTTGACCCGGAGATCGTGGCGATGAAGGATTTCTGAATGGGTCTTCAACCAATGCTCACCACAACATGAACGCTGACATGCAGTATCCAAAACCATAAAACCACCCAGGTCAATTGCTTCGGTCACCCATGCTGTCGAAAGATCTGCCCCAAGAACCAAATTGGTGGTGAAGGTGAAATAACTGGATTGGGGATCTACTTCATGGTGTTCTGGGTCATCGTGTTGATGGTCATCATGAGATAGTCCAACCACATAGCTCTTCTTGATGCCTTTGCCCCCAAAGTTGCCAGAAGACTTGGGGGTAGCTACACTCGAACCACCAGTTTGATGCCCTTTTCCATCTCGCTTGCCACCACGCTCAGCTGAAACAGGACAGACACTATCGCCTGCCCAATGTCCCACTTGTCCGCAGGCACTGCATGACGAGGACTTCTTGCGCTCCTCAATGCTTTTGCGGCCAGAAAATTTGCGACCAAGCACAGAAGCCTGCAACTTCTTTGACGTAACTGTGAGAACTTGGGCAAGCTCTGCTATGTCATCAGGATTCAAAGCTGCATCATCGGCATCAGCTTCGTCTCCATCAGCACACTCGGGATTTTCATCTTCTTCTGCAATGGGGCCAAGTTCACTCTCATCCCCAACTGCCTCTTCAAATTCCTCATTGTCGCCAGCAGTCTGGTCACCGTCTGCAAGTTCCGTTTGGAATGCACGCTTTGGATAACCCTTCCCCTTTGAGGATGACTTGCCCGAAAAACTACTTGAAGAGGATCTTTGGGAGGACGCTGAAGTGCTAGTCATGGACCCCGTTGAACTTGATGGTGAACCCTTGTTGCTACCCTTGCCACTGTTTCCCCATTGGTTTCCAGGAAAAAACAAAGGAGGGCTCGGCTTGAAATCAGGAAACTGAAGGCACAGGCTCTCATAAATCTTCTCATAGTGAAGGTCATTGCCAGCGCCGATGAGGACTAAGCGCTGAAGCTCAGGAGAGAGAAGGCACCGCTCCAGCACCCGATTGCCACGCGACTCAGCATCGTACATAGCAGATGACTGAATGCCCACATTGTCCAAATCGCGTTCAATCCGTCGATATCTGTTCAGGTATTGGCGCACGGTTTCATGAGCAGTCCGTTTGACAGTCTCGAAGTCACTCAGCAGTTTCCGTTTTTGGAAAAGAATGCGCTGTTGGAGAGGACCGCGCAATTCATCCAAAATGTACTTCACGCCATCTTTGGCGTTCACTTTCTTCAGGTCGAAGTGCTCAGCCTCTGACTCAGCCTCGCCAGTCAAGGAAACATAAAGCGCAAGACCCATCTCACTCGAAGTCATATAGTTCCTGGATTGCATGACCCACGTCTCAACCTTACGCTCGTATTTGCTGAAGGCACGAAGGTCGTTCTGCTGGTACTGCCATTTGGGTGGCTGAGGAGGAGTACCACCGCGCCATCTGACTCCGCGGGCAGGACCACGCGCACTGTTCCAGGAGCTCTCACTATCTGTATCTTTCTTCTTTCGATCATTCAACAATTGTCGCATCACATTCAGCAGTTCGCCATTGGCACTGAGTCTTCCACCAGAGTCCGCTGAACCTCCATGATGAAGAGCTGGTGCAACTGGGGCTTGAACAACTGAAGAGGAACTGGAACCTCTACGACGTCGGCGTCTGTGGGAACCAACATCATCTAGATCAACCACAGGATCCGTCGTAGGCGTCTCTGACTCGGCACGCTCTGCATGGCTTCCAACTGATGGCTCATCAGGAAACTTTGCATGAGCAGCTGCAGGACTTTTCGAAGACTTCACAGGGGATCCTTCCACAGAACCATGTGAAGAACCACCAGAAACTGACCTTGAAGTGGAACGATGGGGCACATACAACCAAGTTCCAGTGGCTGTCTCTAACTTGGCCGGCTCTCCAACGTTAAAGAACTCGCATCCACCACATTGCATGCATCGATACATCCCATCTTCATCAACACTCCAGTCATCAGTTCTACACTTTAGGCACATCCATTGGGCTCGTTGGCAAGCTGGATCCAAAGGAGGAGGATCAACAGGGGCTGGAGCATGTCTGCCAGGCATATATCTTCGTTCTTCAGCTGCGACCTCAGAGGGAGTCCAACTATATGAGGAACCATCATCGGATCCGTCGCCAAAAACGTCAAACATGCCAAGCCCACCATGGCTCCGCGGCCAACTGACCATAACACGTGCCGCTATGTGTTAGGTCGAATGCCACGCAAGGCAAAAATGCAAATGAACAACGGGCAAAAAGGCAGCTTCCTTTTTGCTGCAATGGCTTGAGCTCAGGTGATCACTGCGTCGCACGCAGTTCAGTGCAAAACAAGCATGAACATGGGAATGTCAAATCATGTGCTCACAGAATCATGTTGCTGGCAAAAACTCACAGATCTAAACTATTGATGGGGATACTTGGAATAGCATACACATTTTCAGATGATAAAACTACTTAGGGTTATTGGGACACAGTAACCTTGATAATTATGATAATTAATATTTGGGATACATATTACTGTATAGAGATTCCAGTATTTTTTTGAAAATTTAATGGGTTTATGTTTATATATATCATAGCTCTTTTAACAGGGGTAGGGTAAATTGGGCAATTTTGGCCCATAGATTGGTGAAGCAGTGTCTCAGCAGCAAGTTGGGCATGAACATCTATATATACCCCGTGAATCAAGCATGGAAGCGGAAAAAAATGGATCTGGAAAAGTACTGAACAGGATGTATATATGTATATATATATATATATATATGTATACATATATATGTATGTATGTATGTATGTATGTATGTATGTATGTATGTATGTATGGAGGTATGTATGTATGGAGGTATGGAGGTACGTATATATATATATATAAATATATATAAATAAATATATATAGAGAGAGAGAGTTTACCGGGTGTACCCTGGAAGCACACCATGATACATACCGATTACACACCATACGTGCCCGCCCAGGCTTCGCGTTAAGAGACTCAGTGCCCGCCAGCATGCAAGCGTCGACAAATTCATCCCAGGACCTGCAAGCTAACGAAGAAGGTTTCGCCACCACAAGAGATACGACATGGGATATTTCACTATATAATACAACATGCAGGAAATCAAGAGTGATAGCAGGAGGTGAATTATACTAGAGTTACTAGAACCATGGAAATAAAAACTGAAACCATAGTCTAATATAGTAAAAAGTCCTTTAAGAAGTTGGAAAACTAAACCTTATAACAAGATACGGCATGGGAATATAACTACTGACATATAATAAGCATGGACAAACAAATTTCCAAAGAATCCAACATGCTCCTGGATTCTTACCATGGATACGCATTTGTTGAAAGAAGACCACCTATCACTTTCAACACTGTAGGTGCATGTGCGACTGAAACAGCAAATGTGTCAGCAACATGGGAGGACGTGGTTCCTTCGCCATGGCATCCAGAGAAGAAACAGCTACCACCACCATCACCACCATCAGCAGCATCATAATCAAAATCATAATCATCATGATCCTAAACATAATCATAATCATCCTAATAACAATGACCATCATCATCATCATCATCATCAGCAGCAGCAGCAGCATCGTTCTCATCCTCATCATCAATCACCAGTCTCTTCAAGAAAACAATCGAGACTTGCAAACAACCATAAACAACCATAAACAACCAACATAATCTTAGCCGCAGTAAACAAAGTGCGGTAAAATCCATCATTGCACAGCGTTGAAAACACCAGCGCCCTGCAGGCCGAGCAGCAACTGCCACTTGCTCAACACGCTATCAAGGTCCACCCAATCGAAGTGTTGCTGACCAAAGTTCAGCATAATCACCACAGATTTCACGCCTGACGTGCCAAAACATCTACGTTTCTGGGTGAATGCAAGTCTTCATCGTGATTTCTGTGGTTCTTTCTGACATGGAAAATTTTGACTTCGATGCTTCACGGTTGATGTATCTATGGTTTTTAAAAACCAACTTATAAGTGGACATAACAGGATAAAATGATGTGGATGTGGAAGAAACAGGGGGTTAAAGCCACTGAGGATGAATGTGCGTGCTCGTGTGTGCGTGTGTCTGTGTGCATTAGACGAAGGATGTTCTTCGTTTGGAGTTTAAGTGACGCACAGCTTGCTCTCGTATTTTTCTATATGTTTCTTTTGCATAATTTTGACGTTTGTATTCAATGCAGGGCGGGCTATCGACAAAATGCCCAGAATCTCCCCAAAAAGATGGGACAGCTGGTCATGTAAAAAATACTTTACTTCGTGTGATCCCCACCATGACATTTATACATTTTGTTACTGGCAAATCTTCTGGCATTCTATCTGACATATTTTCTGGCATTCGATCTGGCATTCTATCTGGCATATCTTCTGGCATTCTACCTGGCATATCTTCTGGCAGATGTTCTGGCATATCTTCTGGCAGATGTTCTGGCATATCTTCTGGCATATCTTCTGGCATATGTTCTGGCATATCTTCTGGCATTCCATCTGGCATTCTATCTGGCATATCTTCTGGCATATTATCTTCTGGCATTCCATCTGGCATTCTATCTAGCATATCTTCTGGCATATTATCTGGCAAATCTGCTGGCATTCTATCTGGCAAACATTCTGGCACTTTATCTGGCATATCTTCTGGCATTCTAGCTGACATTCTATCTGGCATTCTATCTGGCATACCTTCTGGCATTCTATCTGGCATATCTTCTAACATTCTGGCATATCTCTATGTGGCATATCTTTTGGCGTGGATACTCGCGGTTGAGGTCCGGCAGGGAACACTGGGCGTGGATGGTCGTGGTTGAGGTCCGGCAGGGAACACTGGGCGGGGATACTCGCGGTTGAGGTCCGGCAGGGAACACTGGGCGTGGATGGTCGTGGTTGAGGTCCGGCAGGGAGGAACACTGGGCGGGGATGGTCGTGGTTGAGGTCCGGCAGGAACACTGAGCATGGATGGTCGTGGTTGAGGTCCGACAGAGAACACTGTGGATCGCGGGTCGCAGTTGGACGAGGAGGACGAGGAGGAGGACGACGAGGAGGAGGAGGAGAGGAGGAGGAGATGAGGAGGAGAGGAGAGGAGCAGGCAACTGACATAAAATCTAACAACCCTCACCTGGCAGGTGGGGAAAAACGTGATATTTCCAGGACTTTCCAGGTTTCCCACTTTTCGAAATCTTTTTGAGGGAAGAACAACTATAGAGATCTAGGAATCAAACTATAGACATAGTCGCTACAGAATGAAGCTTGAAAGGAAACCGCTACAGAGATGATCGTTGAGGGCACTGCTAGTGAAGCGATTTGCCGGTTATGCCCAAGGAATCACTTTCGAAAACCAATAACAAATGGCTCCCCCTCTGGCAGGATCATCTGCTGCAGTACCCATGGTATCCCCACACAACTCATCCCCATGTTTGTGCTGCCGAGTGTCCATACAAGAGCAAACCTGGTGGCCCAAAAATGGTCTGTACAACACCTTGCTCAGCAAAATGTGCCAGTTGCGCACCCGCAAAGTACGGGGCTTGGATGCACTCATAGCCGCGGTGTCTCCTCAGATCATCTGGGATCATCAAAAAACATCCAAGTGTGATTCGATTTATATGCCAGGTGTTCCTTAAATTTTGGTGATTTCTGTGGTAACTTAAGATCAATATAGATCGATCATCAATAAGATAAGCCATAAACCAATCGATGTGCGCCATCCGTAGATTCGAAAGGTGGGTGAAGTCACCCAGTGGGAATGGGAGAAGCGTAGACCCGTTCCCAAGAATGACAAGTCACAAGTGGTGGAAAATGAAATACACGAAGTCGCCATTGATTCGGCTGGTGGAGACCTCGTTTTGCGGAGCGGGCGAGCTTGTGTATGAAAATTGAGTGCCCCAAGATGAGGAACTTTTCCTGGACTTGGTGGGTTGAAACCACCTTTGGAAGAGGCGGTTTAAAGAAGTGACCAAAAAGGGATAGTTTGACATGTTCCAGTATCGAGTTGGATTGCCAGATTGGATTCTTAGTTCCAAGATTCCAAGGCTTCTTCCAAAGTAGAGGCTTGAGATCTCGAAAAATGGCTCCAACAAAATACGGGGGGGTCAGACTGGGTCAGATTTGTAATGACCCCAGCAATGATCAGTGGCTACCCCAGGTTTTCCAGAAAAACCCGTTGAACTGTGAATATATGGCGGGTTAAGTCATGGAGGATCCCAAAGTCACCATGGGTTTCTATACTACCCTCTGGTGGACAAACATAGCTATTGAAAAAGGCCCATTTATGGTTGATTTGCCTACTAAAGATGGTGATGTTGCACAGTTATGTCAGTTTACCAGAGGGTAAGTCATGGTCATCCATGACTTGGATGATTTAGGGGTACCCCTATGACTTAGGAAACCTCTCCATCGAACTAATTCATGGGGTGAAACTAAACCAACATGACCATAACTGAGGGGCACAACACCCAACGTGCGATCGAAGCTAACCAAAGAGTATCTTACCCAAAAAGATTTTCAAATTGCTTAAGATGCCCCCGCTCCCAAAACAAAAAAAACACATGGATTTACCAGTCATGGTGACCATCTATTCCGGATCATGTTTTTAATTTTGGATACTGCAGGATATTAATTGAATAATCCATATCGTGATCATGACATGTCCATATTAAAGTATAGATATCCACAACATTTACCCCAATATGACATTGTCCATGATAGTATTAACCCATATGTTAAAGATAGATATATCCATAAGATTGGATTTGAACTTATATACATGTAGATTTAGTATATATTATCCAGAACAATGTTATTCCACCCAACATGATTTAATCGATATCTCCATGGAAGTTTGTTAAGGTATCCAGATTCTGCTCAGAATTCATACCTGTCCGTTTCCGTTTCATAAACATAGATATCCATTGAACCATATGCGGACCTTCATTGTATCCATACATGTATATATATATATAAATAAATATATATATATATATGAGATTATTATTGTATATATATATAATATAAGTATATGTGTGTGTGCAAATGTCATTATTTCATTAGATGTCCATTAAGGAACATAGTTTTTTAGGCGCATCCATTATATAAACCATTAAATCACCTTTAACATTTCTATTGTGTTCCTTAAAATTGGCATCAAAATCCCCTTTTCAGCATCCAGTATTGAGGCTAGATATCAGATCCTTCATCTAACAACAACAACAACAACTACTACAACAACTACAACTACAACTACAACTAACATAACTATGGAAAATCACCATGTTTCAAGGGTAAATCCACCATTTAAATCACCATGTTCAATAGCTTTTTGTATGTTTACCAGAGGGTAACAACAACATAGACCCATAGATCAACTGTAGATGGTGGCCTCAAGGCTCAGTTGTCAGCTTGGTCTTGCCGTTATCCCTACCGTGAATCAAGAATTATGGATAGATCTACTGTAACTCCATTTCAATATTGGTATTTAAAAAATTGTATTTATAATGGATTTACCCACTAAAAAGCTACTGAACATGCATTGTGTAATACCAATCAATATATGAATTGGTATTTCATACCACCTCCGCCTCGCGGTCTGGCCCGCCCACATATTCAAATAAGTCGTGAACGCGTAGATTCACTATGGCAAGAATTGATCCATGACATATGAAATTTCTCCGGCGATCCCTAGATGATATATCCCCAACGTCCTGGGAGGAGAGAAGAGATGACGTTGGATACTCTCTGGTAAACTAACATAGCGATTGAAAATGGCCATTTATAGTGGATTTACCCATTGAAAATGGTGATTTTCCATAGTTATGTTAATTTACCAGAGGGTAAATATCTGCATGGACGCTGGGTCATCTTCCATGAATCGATGAGTCTGAGAGAACTAGATGCGTCTCTTCACCTCGAATAGGTACCCATTATCCATAGATATCTCACATGCGGCCCCCCTAAATAGCTAAGTTGGTGCAAATAACTCCAATAAGTATGGTTCATCATACTTGTAACTCTACTGCTTGGAGTTTGTAAACCAACTTGGCTATCTACAGTTATGGCCCAAAATACCAGCTATAAGTACTAACAAACCCCCATTTGTAGAATGTTGTTTATCCCATAGAAATCACCAGTTATCACCATCATTGATCACTATTAGCCACTATTTAACCATTACTAACCACTCTCTCTCTCTCTCTCTCTCGCTCTCCATCGCCATCAGTGAAGACTGCCTTTCCGGCAGTGGCGAGAAACGGCCTACCTGATTTGGTAAAAAGCAATCACTATGAAAATCACCATCGAAATCACCAGTTACCCTCTGGTAAACTTTTACATAACTATGGAAAATCACCATTTTTAATGGGAAAATCCATTATAAGTGGTCATTTTCAATAGCTATTTTGACATAACCATAGAAATCACCATAGAAATCACCATGGAAATCACCATGGAAATCACCAGCTATAACTAATAGGGGCTGCCGATCGCCGTAAAGCCCCGCCAGTGGTCGCCGTCCCAAGGCACCGCGAAGCACTTCTGCGCCAGGGACTTTTCGCCACGCGCCAAGTGGTTCCAGGCCATGTCCATCCTGCCACAGAAATTATGTGAAACACATGGGTTCTAAGTTTATATTAACCATTAGAAATACCATCTGGTTATTTAACATAGCCATGGAAAATGACCCATTTATAGAACTATGGAAAACCATAGAAATAGTGAATTTTCCCATGAATAGCATGGTAAACTAACATAACTATTGGGAATCACCATTTCTAATGGGTAAATCAACTATAAATAGTTGATCAACATAGCTTCAACGAGGTTTCTATGATGTATCTGATATACCCTCTGGTAATTTAACATATAGCTATGGAAGCCATGGTCCATTTATAGAGGGTTTATGATGATTTACTGGGATTTTAATGGGGATTTACTGGTTAATAATGGTTAATAATGGTTAATAATGGTGGTTATGGTTAACCTATAAGTTTATATTAACCATTAGAAATAGACTAGAAATACTGATGATACTGTGGAAATGATACTAATTCATAGGAATTCTGGATGGCTTTACTACATTCATATCTGGTTGGTGGTTGAGCCTACCCCTCTGAAAAAAATATGAGTCAGTTGCGATGATGACATTCCCAAGATATGGAAAAATAAAACATGTTCCAAACCACCAACCAGATGTGGATATCAAATCATGAATATATATATATATATAGAGAGAGAGAGATGGCATATATCTGCATATCATCTCTCTATACTATATCTCTCTTTCTCTCTCCCTCCATCATCCTTTCGAAATTGAGTATACTTCGCCCATTGATCTCAACCCCTAACTGATGTGAAGGGAACGGAATGGTTCAAAACTGTGCGCCAGGGTCGTCTTCAACACATAGTCACTAGAACCTCCAAATGTATCCACTTATAACAGTTTTGGCCCTTTACCAGTTATCAGTATACGTATATAACCTGTTTATATGTTTATGGAATGTATGATCTCATAGAAATGACCAGTTATGACCAATTATAACGTTTATAGCTATGGCCATAACTGGCCGTTTTTCATTGCCTTTCTTTAGCACGGTAATTAGGTGGATTTTTCAGGGCAGCTCCTTGTAATTTCACCCATGGCCTGCATCAAGATATTCAGCATGTACCCTCCGGTTATGTCAAAATAGCTATTGAAAATTACCATAGAAATAGTTGATTTACCCACTAAAAATGGTGATTTACCCATAGTAAACTAACATAGCTATTGACAATACCCCATTTATAGTTGATTTACCCATTGATAATGGTGATTTTCTATAGCTATGTTAGTTTACCAGAGGGTACCAGGTTCACTGGGGCATAGTGGGGCTGAACATGTTCCAACGTGGGCATTTGTTTATAGTGGTAGCCGTCTGCTTAGACGACATATGGGATTCGTTAACTGTTTGCCAACGCGGTAAAGCCATGCAATAAGATCTGATAACAGGGTATGCCACACTTGAACTTCCAACCATTCATCACACTATAGCCATCTATAGCCCAATATATCCCCTTGTTTTACCCAGCATCTACTCATTACATCTCATTACCCTCTGGTAAACATACAAAAAAAGATTGAAAATTGTCAGTCGAAATAGTTGATTTACCCATGAAATGGGTGATTTTCCATCGTTTTTTCTCATTTAATGGGGGATTCCCCAGCGGCCAAGCGTCTGTTGATCCATGCGGTTGGCAAACATGGAGTGCTGTGGTCCTCGCGGCGGATGAGGATAGGTAGGATTGAAGGGATCATCACTAGGACACTGCCTCTGTTTTTTTGACTGGTTGGTGGTTTGAATCCCTCGGAAAAATATGAAAGTCAGTTGGGATGATTATTCCCAATATATGGAAAAATACAAAACGTTCCAAACCACCAACCAGTTGACATTTTTTTGACCACCACCGTGATTTTATTCTGGGGGGTCCTTCCCCGTGTTTTTTCCTTGAACCGATTTTTCGGGAACCAACGTCAACCACAAATGATAGAAATTCCAGTCAGAATATTGACCAGCAAACACACGGACTTTAATCAATATACCAGCATAATTGTGGGGACAAGTAAACCATTCTGGGAACAAGGTATTGAATTTGTGAGACATGATAATTATTACGTGGTGGTATCACATCATTAAATCAACATAGAAAAAACAACCACGAAACAACCAAAAAGGTCGGTATACATACCACGAGATGGATGAGCCAATTTACTTAGCAAAGGACTCTTGGTTTCAGTATATTTCTTCCAATCATACAGGCATGTTGGGGTACGTCAAACATGTTTTCTAAGCTCACAAAGACCTTTCACATGAGACAGCGTCTGCGGAGGAAGGGTCACTGTTGAACTACCATTGGTGAAAACAAAACAAGGATGAACAATATGATCGAAAATGATTGTGAACACCGAAGCTATCTCCAGCTCCAAAAAGGCCCATGCCGCAATGCCCAACAGATATCGACTCATTGCATGGTTTGGCATAGCTCCCCTATGCTCCCCAATGGGCGCGCCTGGTGCCACACCCTGAAAAATGAAGAGTGGAGTAATTCCATACCTTGCTGTTGGATGTCCCCGCCAACGTTGGGCGAAGACGGCCGGGGATCAAGGTGATGCGCCAATAACATTGGTAAGCATAATAACTCCTGTAACTATGGTTTATGACATGAGTGTGTATATATATATATACTGTAAATATACTTAGCTAACGGGTTTGTAAACCAACTACTGGCAAGCAGCGGACACATGATGTATACACGAAAAAAATCAACTCCAGTGATTGTGAGGTTGGAAAATCACACCGAAATGTCGAAACCCATTCTCCAACCAGCTATATCCCAGCTTCAAAAGCTGAAGCCTGCTATTCTACCCATTTATAAACCCGCACTGCAGATGGTTTTACTGATGACCCTATGATTTCCCAGAATTTATCCCACAATTCTCCAGCGAGAATCACCATGCGAGGCACCTGAGGCCCCTTTGTGCTGTCTAAAAGATTGGTTTATTAACCCGTTATTGATATTTATCAATGTCGTTACTTATCTATTAGTTGATCATTTTTTGACGGTCATGTTTATGATTTATTTGTTGATGATTAGTCCAATCGTTTATCGATATGTTTCTTACTAATACCATATCTATGAGCCCAAATGATAGTGAACAAACAGGTTATTGACGATTGGTTAGGTAACTATGACCATGATTAATAACCACACTGATTGTAGTTAGTATATAATTGATTTGGCTTATTAACAACCGTAACTTGCAACCATAATTGGGGTATATTGGGGTTATGTTTAAAAAATGATTGCGACATTGCTTATTCTTTGTCCTGCAAAATATCTGAATGGAATTGTGTGAGTCTTGTCACTTTGTGAAACAATAAATCCCGATGGTTATAACAATCATTAAAAAATGTATAAGTTATAGAATATAATCAATGACCTTCTGGTTATTTAACATACAAGTAGCTATGGAAAATGACCCATTTACAAATGATAAACCGGATGTGTTGGTCCGTTCCAAAAACCGTTAGATCAATCACCAGCCGGACAATCTTGCTCTGAATTCTTCACCTGGCATCTGCCACGAAAAATGTCCCGACATAAAACCCATGAATGGAGTGACAAACAAAAGGTTGCATCATTTAAACCAAGCTATATCTCCCCATTATATAAAGTCATAAAAAGTTCTCAACAGTAAAAAATCATGTGGCATATCCCAACTTATGGATCCATCAATCCGGTATGTCTTAAAGTGACACGTCCCCTTTTTGGATGCGTCGCTTCGCTATGGGCTCGGCCCAGGCGCTCTTTAAAGGAATCCAACTCTTTGTCCACGAAGCCAAAGATCCCCGGAGGGATGCCCCCCAGGGCATCGGCAAAGGGATCCTGGCGTTGTCGGAGAACCCCCCGATTTCCGGGGAAAGCTACAGAAAGTTATGGCCCATGGCCTTTTTTTTACCAGTTATAAGTAGTTATAAGTACGGAACTAACCCCATTTATAATTCCATAGAATGTAAAATCCCATAGAAATAGCAAGTTATAATCTAATAAATGACCATAATTGTGCAAAATCTTGGTTAAACCTAGAAACAAATGTGGAAAAAAACGATTTTCATTGAATCTACCAAACAAAAATGAGAATATATATATATATATATATATATATGGATTTCACTTTATTTCAGCAACAATAATAGAATCACAAACATACAAAGATATGAATCCCTAGGGAAAGGATCGGCCAATGATTGATTGGTTTTCCACATCCGATGGCAATGTTTACAGGAAGATCAATTCGTGGTTTAATCAACCAAAATGTGGAAGTGTGCATAAGTTTACTAAGCCTACTACTTAACTAAGTCTAAGTTGGATAGCAGAAAAAAAAACTAGGTTAGCGATGTGGTTTATGGTATTTACGTGGAACTCGTTGATTTCCTTTTAAAGCAACAAACACATTCCATTCAGGAGCATGGCATTTAAGTACTCATTCTCTTTCAAGTCTTGGAGATCATCACTTGGTGCAGTTGGGGGTCATGAATGGGAATCATATATATATATATAATATTACATTGGGTAATGCGGTGTTACAAATAATGGTTATTTGTTACCCATAGGATCCATGTATGCTATATATGGTGACATTTACCATCAATATGCCCCAAATGTTAGCATATATACCATACATGGATCCTATGGGTTATGTAAATGACATGTCCAATTGTACCTGGACTTCAAGGATCCGAACGAAGAGATAACGAAAAGGGAGCGCCTGGATCATCGTATTTAGTTTTCATGGAATCCCTGGCGTTTTTTACACCAGAGCTGAAAATTCTCTGGTTGGTGGTTGAGCCACCCCTCTGGAAAAATATGAGTTCGTCAGTTGGGGTAAATCTATTCCCAACATATGGGAAAAACAAAAAAAATCAAAACCACCAACCAGTTATGAAGGTTCATCCCTCCTTATGGCATTTCATAGCTGTGTTGACAAAATCAATCGGTTCAACTGTTGATTCCCAGGCCTCCCAACCGATGCGCATGGATTAAAATTCAAGGTATACATGGGATGAGAGAGGCACTGGGGCCTTATGATCACCAGGCTTCTTAACAAGCTCCATCAAGCTCCTATAGGGGGATGATCATCCCAGTATAATCAGTACATATATATATATATGATTATATACATATATATATATATGTATATATATATATGATGATGATGATGATGATGATGATGATGATATTTAAAAATTAAATATAATATTGTATATTGTCATACGGTGGAAGGGCAAAGGAATCCTGCACCAATTGGAAAGTATTGGTAACTATGAAACACCGTAAATGGCATGAGACATAAACATGAATAAACCAGGATTTCGCAACCATCCACAGTGAATCCACAGCATCCTTTTCTCTCATGTTCTTTCTACACCTCTCTACATACCTGATGCATTTCACAGAAATGGACGCTTCGAAAATGGCTCACGGCAAAACAAAAAAAAACAAGTCCTTCAAGGCTTGAATGGATCGAAGCCAGAAAACCGCATCGACCCCCACATGGACACCGCGGAGCCTGAAGCAGAAACTGGTCAATACCAACTGATTACCGGATATTGATAGATTCTGAGATGATTTGATTAAAAATTGAACAGTTTCTACATTCATATTTTGAGGCATGAACAAAAAGTGTGGCATTTCTATCCTGTGGGTCAAGACTCTGTGCCCCTTGTTGACACCAACAGTTGTCAACTAATTTAGCAATCACTTTGATATCATGATGTCACCGGAATCATTTTCATGTCAAACTTCTATTTGCCAAACTTCCATTGAACTGTTGTGCATCGTGGAAATCGATTGAACCATGAAAAATACCCATATCCCATCCCATTATACTGGTTGGCTAGTAAATATTTCTGTCATGTGCTAGTTCATAATCCCCCCCCCAAAAAAAAAAACGCTTAGCATAAATTCCAAGAAACTAACCCATCAACAAAGCCAGAGCCATTGTAAGGTGAGGGCCCCCAATTAAAAGTCGGTTTATAAACCCATGAACTAGTTCGATAAATAAATCGACCATAAACAAAAACCATTCACCTAGTAATACATGCTCTCGTAAATCAGCTATACATCCCATGAAAAAAATCACCAGTTGCCAGTTGTCATCACCATTCCCATGTTTTACTATGGATTTCCTAGGGTCTCACCTTGCCTCTTCATGACTCAATTCAACCGCCAAGTGGCTCATTGAGCTTGCTGGAATTCACCTCAGGGCTTCGTGCCAGGTGGTGGCCAGGAAATCTATAGCACCCCGAGTCATACAAAAAGTCGGGGACAACTGGACATCATGGGGAAAACATGGGAAAACATGATGACATCCTGGGAACAAACATGGTATCTTTTCGGGGCTGCTAGATAATCTAGATAGTTACCCTCTGGTAATTTAACATAGCTATTGAAAATGGCCATAGAAATAGTGAGTTTTCCCATTAAAAATGGTGATTTTCCATAGCTATGTGGCAGTTTACCAGAGGGTATATCTAACATTCACATCCATTCGCCGCTAGGCCAAGGCACTAGGCCCTGATCTTGAAGGTGAGTCTGGAGGTGTCGCACTCGCATCTCGCATCCTCTGCAGATCAAGCCCTTTATAAAACCCTTGGGTCAATCACTATCATATTATTGAGGGACATCACATGAAATCACTATAATTATGGGGATATTTTAGCCTTTATCATCTTTATAGGGAAATCACTATAATATATAGTTTTTTGTAAGACCGGTAAATCATCATGTTTATCATCGATCAATGGGTTTTCATCCAAATCACCAATCCAGCCCAGCCACAAACGCTGGATTAAACCCAGGCTTGGCGCGTCAAAGCTACGTGGCCACGGAAAGCGAAAAAAAAATGGGGGGAACCCCGCGTTCGGACATGATCTATACATACTGTGGATGGTTGCGAAATCCTGCACCAGTTGATAGGTGGTCTACTCCATTATTTATAGGTTTTCTACCATCCTTTTGGTGGTGCAGGATTTCTTCCATCCACAGTTGGTATACCATGTAAATAGCCATTTCATGGGTGAAATATGAGACAACCAACGTATAAAAAGTACACCATGTAAATACCAAATTGGTACCACATTTTAATGGGTATACCATGTAAATACCATAGGAGAAATATGATGATTTATCTCTACTTTTGGGGTACCCTATTTTCAGACAAACCCAGATTGTGGATCTGCTGTGGTTGTGTTAGTTTACTGGAGGGTACATCACCTCATCCAATTGCTATATGTTTCATGACCGGAAACATGGGGTCATCCTAAATATGTACACTTATTGTCATTTATTAGTTCTAACTTGTTAGAAATGGGATTGTACATTCTATAAATGAGGTTAGTTCATTCAGTACTTATAAAACTGGTAAAGTATGGCCATTTATTAGTTATCTGGGTATAAATGGGGTTAATGGTAAACGGCCATAACTGTTGAATGGTGAACATTCCATCTTCCCACCCCTGACGAGATCTTGTCATTCCTGTCATGCCGTTCCGTCCAGCAATGCCCCATCGGGTTAATCAAATCGGTCCATCCAAAGAATCGTTGGCAGAAGCGAAAACCCGATCAACCTCTAAGACAAGATGTGCAGGTTTGTTTGTTTGTTTGTTTGTTTGTTTGTTTGTCTGGTTTGTCTGGTTTGTTTGGTTTGTTTGGTTTGTTTGTTTGGTTTGTGTTGGCGTTTCTTTTTTTAAACATGTTATTCTCTGCATCACGATTGGAATTCAAAAAAATCTACGATCTGAAAACACATCACTATACACACAAAAATCAAACGTCAACCATCTTAAACATGAATGTGTTTTTTTCTTCATGTTGAACTCAAAAATGAGATCAACTTTGGCTGGGGTCATGGCAGTATATGGCTTTCTCTCAAAATAGGCTACCCCGAACTCACCACTTTCACGCGCGACGCTTGGACTCCTCGAGCCGCCGATCCGTGCTGATGCAGCTTACAAATTGATTCCGAGATATTTCCTATAGCTAGATTGATTCTTAGATTGAATCATGAACAAACATCCAGGCAAAATGTTGGGATCATTGGGATGTGATGTTGTTATCTTTAATCTCCTATAACTTTGCTTCGCATGGCCAGATTGGTGATATCTTCATTGCCACATCTATGGGGAATTCCGAACCGAACAATTGACCAAATGCTGCAGCACGGACCGCGGCAAACGCAAAGCCAGACTTCGCGCCCTGTGCTGGTCTGGGCGAGAGAAGCATCAAAATAAATACAGCCTAGCAGCCTACCCGTCTGAGGACCGAGGAGTGTTCAAACATGTTCAAACATGTTCAAACATGTTCAAACATGATCAAAGCCCGCAACATCATGGGAATATCTTCGGTGTATCATGGGAATATGTGTTGGGATTATAATGGAACCATCCCCTGTTCCTTTTTTTAACGCCCCCAAACGAAACCATGGTTTAAGATGGGATGAACACACACACACATATTTGGGACCATCCAATGGGCTGTAAAATACAATGCGGATAGGATCCTAGGTTCAGAATAGGATTCATCCATGGATTATGATCATTGCCAATGTCTTGGGGACCCACGAACTACCCTCTGGTAAACTAACATAGCTATTGAAATGGCCATTTATAGTGAGTTTTCCCATTAAAAATGGTGATTTTCTATAGCTATGTTAGTTTACCAGAGGGTAATCATCAACCAAGATCTGGGCATTTTTGATGGCTGATCTGGCGCCAAAAAAAGCGGGCCATGCACGTGTGCAACTGTCTTTTAAAAGGCAACCATCAAGTGCGCTGTGGCAATAACCATCCATCTTGCGATATGTATAGGACATGGTGATATGTTTGCTTTCCTCAAGTGCTGCCTATAAATGCAGCTTGTCTGAAACGTCTGGCAAAGCGTCTTAATGTTTGCAATTCCATTTGGAGAAAAAAAACAAATACCCCCCGGTAAACTGTCACATAGCGAGCTGGAAAATCACCATCTTTCAAAGGTAAATCAAATATTTCTATGGGCCATTTTCAATAGCTATGTAACAAATTACCAGAGGGTATGTTTGTTGGTTTATGTTCGCCCCAGTAGCTAGTTCGATCTATGATGTAGCTATATTAATCTAATATCATATTAAATTATATTACATTATATTACATTATAACCAATGATAATTACGTTACATTATTGTGTAATATAATATAATGTAATATAATGATTATTGTAATATTATGTGAATTATGTGTTACATTTACCAGATAACACACACCCAACTGCACCACTGGGAGTCGTTTACTGCGCAACGTAGCCCAGTTACCAAGGTCCGTGCAAAGGTGACCATTTTCGTGGCATCGCATGTTACTTGATGGACTACGGGGGCGGCATCCCAAAAAATCATATGTTTTTTATTTTTGTTACAGGCTTTAACATGTTTAACACTTTATTTACATGTTTAGATTTTTAAACCGCTTTAATATGTTGGAAAGTGTTTACAATTTAAAACTTTACATCATGAATCCAGATTAGAATCCGAGATTTCGAATGTTGAAGCGGTGTCACTGCGTCATCACGTGAAACAACACTGGTCACTGGTGGCTCTCCCTCCCAATCCAGGCCACTGGTTTGGCGACCGAAACCACGAGCGAAGTGAGGATGGCCAGGATGGAGAAACCGAGCTTTGAATACACGACCGAAGCAACTGAATCAACCCACATGGAAACTGGAGAAATCCAGACATTTAGTGGTTTCAACTGGTTAATATGGTTAATATATGGTTAACATAATGGTTAATGATGGTTAAAATTAACCTGGTTGGTGGTTTTTTAGCCTACCCCTCTGAAAAATGATGGAGTGAAAGTCAGTTCGGATGATTATTCATTCCCAACTGAATGGAAAAATATAAGAAATGTTCCAAACCACCAATCAGGTGGGGTCCCCAAAACACCTAACTTGCTTCATGATCCCAAAAAAAAACACAAAAATGCTATAAACCCCCAATGATCTGAGCGCTGGCGTTCTTGACCCCGGTCATGGGATGTTCAAGCGCTGGGGCAGCCCATAGACTGATAGGTAGATAGGTAGGTAGATGGGTCGGCAAATAGATAAGATAGATGGAGATACATTCCACATTGGTATGACCTCTATGCGACCCATCAAGCTGGGGTCTAAAGTGCTTTTGTAACTGCGGGACATGTCTACCATGAAAAAAAACGTATGTAATGCTATGTTGGGGCGCAACATGGTGCAATACATTTTGGACCAGAACACTTACCGTTGACTTAATTACAGAGTATGCAACCTGTATGCCGTGGGCAAATTCACCCGTTGTGGGCAACAAACCCAGCGCCTCCCCATTAAATTAGACATGGGACAAAAAATGTGTGCTGCAAGTACAGTTATGGCCCTTAACCAGTTATAAGAACTTAAAACCCCATTTAGAGAATGTATCATCCCAATTTATAACCGTTAAAAGTTATAACTAATAGCCATGGCCAGAACGGAATGTACTCCTTTTCCCTGTTTAGCGTTGGTGCAGATCCTTCCCAGGTTCTCGCCAGTAACCATCCGTACACCGCGCACGTCCCAGCCGACGCGCAACTTACACGACTTCTTTTTTTTTGGCTGCGCAGGTGGCCAGACCCCTTGGAGTGGGAACCTCTCTGCAAGTCTTGCAGTGCGATGCGTATGACTACAGCATCGCTTGAGCATGATAGAACCGGAGATGATCAAACCACTGTTAAAAACGATTTCAGTTGTGGCCCTTTATCAGTTATAAGTACTGAACTAACACCATTTATAGAAAGGTTTTGTTAACCCATAGAAATAACAAGTTATAACTAATAGCCATGGCCATAACTGTGACAAAACCATCAAAGCAACACCCCACGAAGCCTGAAGATTTTAGCGGATCTTCATAAGATAGCCTCACATAATTCCCCTCCTGAAAAGGTGTTCCTAATCCTTGGCTATTTTGGTGAACACTTTTCATTCTTTCACTCAGATTTCTTAAGTAGATATAATATCAAGTAATATCAGATATCATATATATATATATATAATTTTATATACATCATATATATATATATATATGTATCGAACTAGCTACTGGGGCGAACATAAACCAACATGGCCATAACTGGTGGCATCACGTATACTAAAAATCTCCCCATATGGATCGATCCAGTGGTCAGGCTTTCCATCGCAACATAGCCATTTTGCGCCCACGGAATGAGAAATGACTTGACAATCTTGACATTTATAATACACACACACATTTATTTATATATATATAATGTATATATATAATGTATATATATATATATATCTATCTATATGATGTACATATATATATATATATATGTATATCTATATGATGTACATATATATATATATGTCTATCTATATGATGTACATATACATATATATATATATGTATGATGTGTATATATATATATATCTATATGATGTATATATATATATCTATATATATATGTATGTAAATGCCGTATCTGATCAAGTGTTGGAGTTTTCTTTCTGAGTCCACACTCCAAACTCCGGGTCCGTTTCCATCGGCTGCCTTTCATTTTTCTTCTTTGCTTGGCGAGGCTTGCTGGACAAAATAAGGGATTCCGGTGAAGTATCATGAACTTCTTCGGATCGAAGTACACCAATTGAGCATCGTTGAACTTCAAGCAAATGAAGTAAGGCTGTAAAGATTGGGTTACATATCTCAAAGAAACAGTGATAGGATACCACGACTTTGAGTTTTACCAAACATAGGGTTTTGGCGCGGATTCCCCCTGCTGGAAATGTATACAAGCTTCCAAATGGGCTACTTGTCCTGGGCTTAAACTATCGTTCATACCTACTCATTTCAGGTACTTAAGATTTCAGATTCCAGGCATAGTTCAAGCCTTTGTTTTGTGAATCGATTTGGCTGGGGTCCAGCTATGAAAAACCGTGGTCCTTCAGAGTCCTTCAACGATTTCTCCCATCGCAGGAGATCGGGCATCAACATGGCCTTTATTGGCGGTGAACATTGGGCTTTTGACCATCTACAACTATGAAATGTATTGAAATGTATGATTCCCTCACTTACTTCCCCCTGTTGAAATGCATCTGTTGCATATACCCTCTGGTAAACTAACATAACTATGGAAAATCACAATTTTTAATGGGAAAACTCACTATAAATGACCATTTTCAATAGCTATTTTGACATAACCAGAGGGTACCTTTGTTGAAGCTTAAATAGACCATGTCCCAAGGTGGCCAGGCTTGTCCTCGCTTGCGCAGGATCCGATCGACAGACTCAGAGATTCCTCGGTCCGTCGACATGGGAAAGATGAACTCGATTCAGGGGAAAATGTCCAGGAAATAAACTGGGAATATCTACAATGTGAGGCCCCCCAGGTATAAGTTGGTTTATAAACTCCATGAAAACTATAGTTATAAGTACCATAAACCATAGTTATTGGAGTTATAAACCAACTTAATTAGCTATCTTGGGGACCCCACATTGTAGGGGTTATACCAGAAGAACAGGTTGTAAACTGTAAACACTAGTTTCCATGAATGTTGCCAAAGAACTATTGTGTAACATTCCCCCAAGGCGATTCTGGGTTCGATACGTGATCAAATGAGAAACACTATATTCCTGATCAAGAAGGAAACCATAACATTCTCCAAAAACGTCCAAAAACCACATGGAAAACATGGTTGGAATCTAAATTTCATGGTTCTAGTCCACTGTCATAACAGTCAAACTAAGTCACAACTATAAATTTCAGATTCATAGTCAGACTGCCAAAATAACATTTCAGTGAAACATTGTCACGGTCACCGCGTTTGGAAAGGGCGAGCCTAGGGTAAACTGCTCCGCTCCAACATGGGACAATCCGAAATTGGAAAACGATCCAGCCATTCATGGTGGATTGTCCACATCGCATTACTCCAGGGTAACATAAACTGGTTGGTGGTTGACCTACCCCTCTGAAAAATGATGGAGTTCGTCAATGGGATGGATGACATCCGATATATGAAATGAACCATAAAACATGTTTAAAACCACCAACCAGTAACATGCTAGCCTCTGGTAAATTCTTACAGTTTGTGAACTGGTGGCCAACTGTGGCCCATTTGCTTCGATCGTGAAGCGAACTCAAAGTTATGGTGATGTTCCACCGCTACTTCGGCAACAGATGAAATTACCAGGGGGTAACTACGTTTAAATGAGATTGTCAAGTCCGTAATTTCAAACCGCAAAAATATCAACCCGGTTTGCTTTATGAGCAGTTCCACTCCACACACGAACAAACATACTTACTATACCAAACTTTAGATTAAACTTGACAACTTGTTGTTGTCAACCCAGTCAAATGTTGGTATCTAAACCCGTCAAAGTAAAATAGCATAAGACCGAAGCTAGTCAAACTGCATCTTTCAACTTTCGAGCAACTATTGACAACTGGGAAAGGGGTCACAGGTCCTTGCCTGGCTCAACCATTCCCAAGCGAAGCTTCAATCTCTGCCGCTGCTTTTGCAAGATCTCGCTGGCCTTTCGCATGTCCTGGCACCACGGCCGGACACACGTTTGCATCGCAGTCAGGAAGTTGTTAATAACCATGGCATAAATTAACTTAAACCCCTCTATTTATGACATATCCCCAACATGTTCATGACGATCTGCAAACATATTGAGATTTGGTTCAAAAAAAGTGAACTATATTACATATTAAAAACCTACTACACAATATTTAGGGCTAAATGCAGAGGACATAAACACACACATATATATATATAGATAGATAAATGACACACAGAACGAGTGGATTATAAACCCTATTGACCAAAATAAAACATCAGGGGAAAAACGCCAAAAATGGCTATACGTAGAACTCATATACAGTATCAATGGGTTTCACTGTGAGGTATCCCCAGATTTGATGGTATAATCATCATGTTCCCTTGCCATTTTTGGTACCCCCCATTTTCAGACAAACCCTTAAATGTTCTTGAGAAGTAGGGTTAAATAACAGTCTCTTAGTCACAGAAAAACGCCTGCAGTTTCAATTTTCAGCGGAGCAAGAAATGATCAAAGAAAGAACTAGCCAAAAACAGACACAATAATTAGATTGAGAACTATACCATGTAATGTCAACCCCGGATTACTCTAATACTTATAATACATGGTGCCCTCCCAATCAAACAACCGTTTGGGGTTTATAGATCCAGGGTATCCAGGGTTGACATTAATATCCCCTCCCGTACTCTAACATCGCTATGGTATGGCCTGTTTGCTTCAATGATTTGGCTCTCCAAAATGGTGGTTTTTGCTGAATGTAACAACTTACCAGAGGCTGTCCTAGTGCGTCCTATTTAAGAAAACAAGAAAACACAGCTTTGGAAACACCATGAAAACACCATGAAACTAGCCATCATGTCTAGACATCATCAAACACCATTTTGTCAAAAACTCAGCAACTATTTTGTCATCTTTATCACCTATGAAAAACATCATCATGGCCATCAAAGTCCCCCCCTGATTTCAATCAGCACCGACGGATCCACCTCACTGAGGTCTTCGGCGCCCAGGGTGTCCGCCACGGTGTCCACACAACGCCGCACGTCGCCCCAGAAGGTGAAGGCCAATTGGAGGTCCTGGGACGACGGTTACGGCCCACGGTTGGACCAGCAAGGGAGGCCAGAAGAACTCTAACTCTAGGTCAGGTTAGAAAATATATATAGTTATACTATTAGTTTTTTTTTTGTAACCATGAAGGATTTATACTTTTGTTTTAAGTTATATTATATACATTCATGTGAGATATAGAATTTATACTGACTATAATGATGATAGTTTTCCATGTCATAAAGTTAATATAAAATTATGTATAGTTATCCATGTCTGAATCATTGACTAGTCATGGTTTATCTAGATATGTTAATCATCATGAGCATCTTATTAGTAACAATTGATTGGTTTGACGGTTTGACTGAACTATGTGTATTTCTATGTAATTAGTAAGTTTCCCCTATAATCTATTGGTTATAGTACTGATTAAGCAATAGTTATTATTGTACTGTAGGCATAGCGCCTAACAGTACTCGTTATCAGAATGTCTATAAAAGTAGCAATTAATCATTATCTAGTAGTCGGTTTATCCATTTATAGTTACTAATAGCTGATTTACCCATAATATAAAGATACCCCAATAGTTTGCAAATGACCCTGGCAGTACCTATGTGAATATATATATATGTGTGTGTGTGTAAAAATATGTGTGATTAGTAAATGATATCAAATATCATGTGTAAAATTATAGATCTTCGGTTACTATGATATCAATATCTCTCAAATTGGTTCTCCAAATCTCCTGTTATATCAGCTTTATATCCCCATTTTTCTTGCCGGTTAAGCCATGGTTAATCCGTTAATGTTTTCCTTACAAAACAAAATCGGGGCCTCAAGAAAAAGTCGTGACGAGACACATCAATGGGTTGCACGCAGCAGGGAAAACGCTTCGTCACGTCCGTCTTGAAGGTCTCTAAATCTTTGCCCTGCAGAAAACGCACACAGCTGCTAAATGAGCAGCAAAAATAAGCCACGAAAAGCAACAGAAATGGCGACTCAAGCAACCAAAATGGAAGTTTACCAGGACCGGGGATATAGATGTGAATATTTTATGGGATCACCAACTTTTGCCATGAATCTTGATTCTGATGATCCCATAAAATATTCACATCTATATCCCCGGTCCTGGTAAACTTCCATTTTGATTGCTTGATAGAGCTGCAGTTCGGAATTCCTCAGTTGGTAAACATAAAGTCCATTAGCTACAAGGTGTGGCCCCACAAGTTCTAAGGTTATTTTCAATCTGATCCAACTAGAGTTTTAACGAATTACTAGTCAAACCCCAGTTATCATAGTTATTTCATGTTATTTCAACCAAGTTAGCTAAAATATATTGGGACCCCACCTTGTAGAGATGTGGAAGATTCAAAACGAACATGTCACTGGGGGGGCACCAGCTTGTGGGAGGGATGATCTCAAGGACGTGTTAATGCTATATCCACAAGGTGGTGCCCCATAGATAGCTAAGTTGGTGAACATAAGTCCAATCACTAGGGTTTATAGGTGATATATCTATACTTAATGGGGACTATAAACAAACTTTTAACTGGGAGCACATCACCTCGTATAGTCTATATACAAGATGCTCTGACTGAGACTCTGAGAATTTGGATCCACATGCATACCAAACATTACCAAACTAGTTTGAACTTATGGCCATGTGCTGGGGTTCAAAATGCTTCAAAACTCTGGCAGCTGAGAGGTGCATTTTACCCCACTGATCTTTTGGGTCGTTGCAACCTCCCATGTGCCAGCATGCGCCAGCCTGGTACTCGAGGAAAAATTTCACCAAAATGCCCATACACCTAAGCACCACATACTGTCAATACATCTGCAGCAAGCAAGTTCAGCATACCAAACCCGGAAAGATTCCACAGCAAAAAGGATGTGGAACAAAGTGGATTGATTCAGGGGGTAGCAAGAAATTCGAACTGCTCGAATGTCATCAGCATAGGCTGAAAAATGATTAGAAGAAAACATATTATTATGATAACATATGATAACCTACATCCAAATCAGTGTGAAATTCAGGTTTCCCACACTATACATCCTGCATCATTCTGCAAAACCAAATGTGATCTACATTTCAGGGGGGATATCCCTGTGGAGCCACGGTTGTGGGATGACTGTGACAAGTCCAATGATTTTTGTCCACAGTTTCCCCATAGAAACTCCATAAAATCGGTCACATATCATCACATTATTAGAGATACATCCCATGAAATATCCCAAAATTAATCAATTATATATCATATTATATCGTCATGAATGGCTTGTAAAAACATAGTTTTCTTGGTGAACATACCAATTATTTTCGGTTGATATTGTTGGTGTTGGGGCCCTTACAACCGTTAAGTTCATCATAATTTTGATGCTTACATAGGATAGCTAGGCACATTTTCATGGCCAACCCCCCAGTTCCAAAGATTTGGAACGATAAACCCATGAACAAATGTTCGATATATCTACCATAAGTGTGTTATATGGGTTATAAACATATTAATCTAAACATAAAATGGTTCTAAGTTATATCTATATGGTTATAAATGTTATATATCTACCTACGTACACCATAGAGAACTCACCTAGAGACCTCACCAACTTGAACCCATTTCGCGTTTCACAAGTCTCACCTTTGAAGGCACATGGTTCACCCTCGAGGTGGGTGCTCTCCCCAAGTTATGGCTGGTTGATGAATCCCACTAGCTCGTTGTATCTACCATCACTCAGTGTTTCCAATATTCTTCAACCAACCTAGCAAAGTAGTAAATTTCCAAATGTAACTCTTCGCTAGGTTGGTTTATAAAAGAATAATTAATAAAGTAGAATGATGGACTACTTTGCACCATTTTCACAGAATTGGATGAAGGGAACATTTACAGGAAATCCCTATATTTGATGGTAAAAACCATGGTTTCCTGTAGATGTTCCCTTATTTTCCCATATTGTCCAATTCATTGACCATTTGGTGAGAACGGCTCAACATGGCTCAACCACCAATTTCTCCAAGAGACGCTCTGGGAAGCATGAAGGTGGGTAGCTCCGCTGGGGTGCTGGGATACTGGTCCTGGAAGAAATCCAGATTTCGGATTTCGGATCTTGATTGAAGATCCCCATGACGGATCCATGGTGCTATATATGGTGACATGGATCCCATCAATATACCCCCAGTCATGTTAGCAATTTTCTACCAGCACCATGGATCCTATGGGATCTATCAATTTCGTTCATTTTAATCTATGTGTGTTCTAGGATTGATATCATCTATCTATTTTTGTTCGGTTGGAAGGTGGTAACCTCCCCTAATTATCTTGAAGTTTAGAAAAACCACTTCAGAACTGCCAATAGATCCAACCCCAATCTTCCTAGCCTTATTGCAGTTCCAAAGCAAGCATACCACCATGGTCCATACCATAACCACCTATCTTCGGGAAGCCAATCGAGCCGATCGAAAAAGCAATGGATGATCGATTCCATCGATTCCATCGATTCCCGGTCCTTGATGGGAGTGGCGGACATGAAGCCTGCAGGCAAAATCTTCACCTTGCTCAAGTCCTGGGAACTGCCAGGGATACCCGGTAACCAGTTGTCGAAGTCGAAATTGGCGATTCTCGGGGCCTATGTCAATTTACCAGAGGGTGTATGGAAATCTTAAAAAACATGATATAAAATGATTCCTAAAATGGAGGTCTTGTATCGTATTGTACCATATGAAACCATATTATGTGCTGATATTCCCTGAAATTTAGCCTGAATCTTGATCCACGTCAAGAGCCAATATAAATGGAATCGCCACATCCATCCATCCATCCATCCATCCATCCATCCATCCATCCATCCACCACTATCTATCTCATTTATACTATTTATAGATGCGATTTTCATCCATCTAAGATATTCTAAGATTCTATGCCCTACCCATCCCTACCCACCTCGCCATCCCATGGCTCCTGCAGCAGCACGTGCGCCAGGGACGCCTCGACCAGCTGCCGCAGGGTGCGCTTCAGCGCGCGCACCAAGGCGTGAAAGGCGGCCAGGTCGAAGTCCACGTCGCTGTCCCACATGACGTTCCTCAAGGCGTTAAAGGAGGTCCGTCACGGGAAGAACGGTGGGAAAGGCCCGGAAGGGGTGGATGGAACATGGAGAAAACATGCCGGAAAATTGGGAAATTCTTGTGATTTTAGGGGAGTTTACTCAGAAACAAGGGGACTTATAGTTGATGTATGGGGTTGATTGGGGTTGGGATGGTAGCTTTATGGTAAATGGTGACTTACCCCAACAAATATAGGGATGGATGGGGATGTCCCAGTTGATAGGTTAGTTGACTAAAGTCGCTAAATTCTATGGTTTAAGGTGGATATATCGAAGTAGTTCATGGGGATTCTACGGTGTTGATATGCCACCTTATAACTGTAAGTTGAAAGACCTGGGGATGACTAGTGAGGATGATTGAACATCACAACACTGATTTTAGTAACAATGGTGATAAACATCATTAGAAATAATGTCAACCACGGATTAATAAACCCCTAGGCTCTTTGATTGGGGAGGTACCATTTGAGTATTAAAATTAGACTACCACTATTTTGGGGAGTACCCTCCTAATTAATAAACCATGGTTTATTAATCCAGGGTTGACATTAACAATAAAAGCGACCTGAGGAAAGGTGGACCCCCAAACCACAGGTTTCAGTTGGCATCTAGCCTAAGATCTCAGAATTCCAACCAAACTGAAATCAATATACTAACCTATGGGCAGAAGATAGGCACCCAATGACACCAAATAAGCTATATATATATATCTGGGCAAATTATAATAATTCACTTACCTGAAATAAGGCCATTTTGGGATGATTCCTCTTATTAACCATGATTCCAGTGAGGTCGCAGTGAGGTCGTTGTAATTTACCGAGATATATATATATATATTATAGTCAAAATATGCATAATGAAAGTGTCAAATCAAAGACGGGAATGGGCGGGATGGGGTGGACAGGTGGGGATGAGATTGGACATAGATAACGAACATGATTGAAGTGACAATGAATTGAAACTCATCAATACTCATCAACAATAAGACAAAGACATGAAAACATGAGATTCACACTAATTTGGAGACGGGGACTTCGGATGGGTGGGGATGGATGGTGGGTCGGTGGCATGGATTGGGTGAAAATGACGCATCAAATTGATCATATAGAACTTCCACAATGAAACAACAAATAAACTGGACAATGATGATACGGATAACAGCTAAGGGGATGGATGGGGGGTGGAGGTTGGAACATGGTGGTTGAGTTGGAAGAAGCTTGAACATCAAGGAACTTCAGACGCATGGGCACCAAAGACATCACGCGGCAAAGCAAAAGCATGCCACAGACCTAGGCCGGGCCCAAACGGAGATGGGGATACCCTCTGGTGTCAGTCACAAGTGCACAAAAATCATTTTGATTCCAATTGGAATAATTGATACGGATAGTTACGGATTTATATTCACATACTTTTTTTGTTTATATAGATAACTACAAGGTTGTGCTCCCCCACTTCTGTTTGTTGATTATGAACTCCACTACACGAGATCCTTTAAAATATTAACCAACTTGGCTAACTATGGGGCACCACCTTGTTTAGGATTGTTATGCAGCTAGTTCATGGGATTTAAACCAACCCTAACGGAGGACAGGCGTCCCCGCAACCCTTCAACAGGAAGCTGCTTTGAAAAAAAATGGGATTGTAACTCTCCCGCTCCGCCTCTATCCTTGGCTCCAAGGATTCGTCCATGTCTTCAAATTAACCCACCCCAAACCAAGAGTTGGTCAAAATATGGGTGTGTCTGAAAATAATGATTATTATCCCTATTAAACCCAATGGTTTTGCTGATCATTATCCCTATTAAATGGCTATTTGTTTGGGAATATACCCTATTTTCAGACAAACCCATATATTGTCCCAAATCATCCAAAATTTAGCGCTTTCTCATGCAACACTGACAGGAACCGAGAGCGAGCACCTTTCACGTTGCCAATCTGAGATATCCTCTTATTTTGATGAGATTTCCTTGGAGGTGATGAATATTATCGCCCTCCCCCCATCCCAAAAAGACAACATTGCAACAGCGTTGACACTGACCGTGCCTTGTCCCTATCCTGTGGTTGCAGCGTCGCATTGCTCGGGTACCTCCAAGGCCGAGATCGGCATCGAGATCGCCGAGACGTTGGGAGAAACGCTGCCGGACGATGCCGGACGCATCTTATGGGAGATGTCACTTTTCTATCATGAACCAACAAAAAAACATAGTGCCAAGCTAGGGGGTGCGCCCCCTAGCTAAGATGTCCAGAGCATTTTTTGAGTCACTAAACTTCATTGTTGATAACGTATGATACATACCCTTGTGACGGGCATTGATTATCCATTGGAATTGGGGGTGCTCTATTTTCAGACTAACCCATATCAATTAACTGTATGGAGGGTTCCTAAAATATGGTTAGCCCAAATCATTGGTTTTCCCATTTTGGTAATAACCCATTTTGGATGATTTTGGGATACCGCAATTTATGGAAACCTCATGAAACCTCTATGTGATACAGTTAAACCATACCAATAAGGTTATCTATTGGTTATTCACTAGCCCATTTGATATCAATGAACTATTTCTATTTTGCAATTTCAGCAAATGATCTTTCATTAGCTAAATGACGTATGAAAAAGTATAATTTACTATTAACTATATATATATATATATAGTTGCTTTATATCAACTAGCAATAATTATCAACATTATATCAACTAGCAATAGATTATACCCAACTATCAATGTTGTTTATCTATTAACTATTTCATTTACCCTCTGGTAAACCAACACAGCTAGAAAGAACATGGTCATTTTCTGTGTTGATGAATTCCCTTCTGAATTCACCATGGTGTGGTGATGTTTTGTTTCAGGGAGTTCGCCGTTTTTTTAACACCGTTGGATCCTTGGTTTTGTTAACATACTGTAACTATAGTCATTTAATATCAACTATAAGAAAGAAGTAAAACAACTTCCTTATTATATATATATATAGTTGATAATGAAAATTAAATTTGACCCTTAGGGCGATGGTAACTATCTATCAACTCTTATCATTTATTACATTTATAGTGGTTGATATTATAGTTACCCTATGGTAAACTAACATATTACCGTTACCCTCTGGTAAACTAACATAACTATGGAAAATCAATGAAAATCACTATTTTTAATAGGTAGATCAACTATTTCGACTGGGCCATGGCTTCAATATGTTTACATATGTTTACCAGGCCGGGTAGATCTGCTAGAATTTCATATCGCCCACTATAGCCTACTTTTTTACAACATCCCACCATAGCCCACTATAACAACATATCCCACTATAATCATTATAACAAGATATGGCCCACTGCCTGGCCCACGTTGATCCGGGGCCCGATGCGGCACTTGATCTCCTGCGGGAAGGGCTTCGTCTCATCCGCAGCCTCAAACGGTTCGCCCGTCAGCTGTCCGAACCTCGAGGTGAGCCGAGGCGCGGTCTCGGCGGGCCCCCCCGGGTGCTAAGTGGTGGACATACGTTCCCCTTAAGGGATGGCCAAAGCCAGAAGGAAAAGCGTAGGAAAATGGTGGATGTGGGATATTTGATGTGGATTTCAAGCCACAAAAATGATAATTTAATGGGATGTATGATGTATATCTAATTTATGATAGCTATAAGAGCTCTGGTGGGAATATGAATGGAATTATGATGGGAATATTAAAGGAAGATCATCCATTTATGTCATGAGTTGGACTGCAAACATACAAGGTGAGGCCCCAACGAAATCGCAAAGTTGGTGCAATAACAATCGGTGAATTATTCAGTTTATGGTAGATATTAATTGAACCAGTTACCCTCTGGTAAACGTTTACATAAACTATGGAAAATCACCATGCTATTAATGATTAATGGGAACACTCACTATTTCAATGGCCATTTTCAATAGCTATGTTAGTCATAACCAGAGCGTAATGGGATTTTGGACCAACTTTTTTCACTGGGGGTCACCTATGGTGATATCATGGGAATGTCAGATTTTGCCACGGGATGACTCAGGGGACCTGGGCCCCATGGGATATGACTCATGTGCCGTCATATACCATGGGACCCATGCTATATCTGGTTGGTGGTTGAGCAACCTACCAACCCCTCTGAACAAAAATGATGGTTTGTGAGTGAGTTCGTCAGTTGGGATGATGACATTCCATTCCCAAGATGATGGGAAAGTCATGTCATCCAGCCATGTTCCAGTCACCACCAACCATATATGGTGGCCTGGTGCTCCATCCCAGGGATCCCCTAGGGTGTTTCGATCATCCCAAGAGGACTGGGGGAAGTCACCTAGCCATTTGACCAGCTCAGGAAAAGGGCTGCCATTTTACCAGTTGTAAAAGTTGTAAATGGTTATTTCTATGGTTATTTCTATGGATATTTCTATAAGATGTTATATATATATAACTCTGCTTATCATTCCACATTCATGGGATGACTTCCCGACTTCCAGCTGTGTATGGTGCCCTCCCAGGCACTTCATCAGCTCCAACGCCGTCAAGCAGGGCTCTGTCAATATGCTGGGTGTGTCCTGCCGTGGAGAAACAAACAAAAATCAAATATGGGTTGGCAAGACAAAAGCCAAAATGGGTCACCATCGGGAAATACGACCGACCTGTCATAAATCACATCGCAACCCCTCTGTTTTTCACAAATCCTACTGGTTGATGATCAATGTTCATGGCATCACGGAAATCACAGCCACGTTGCCATTACCAGCAGAGCTCTTGTCTCACTAACAATACTGACAGTACTTAGGGGGTTCCTATGTGTTCCTATCAACATTCATTGCTTGCTGTTAGGGGGTGGAGGCGGAATATTCCCTCAAATTTAGCCCTTACAGAGGCCTTATAAAATGGAAGCTACCTCCAGTGCAGTATTCAACTTGATGTCCTTTTGGTAAAAATCGGTTTGGGCCGGTTTGGTATACCATCTATCAGAATCTATCTGGTAAACTAACATAGCTATGGAAAATGGCCCATAGAAATAGATGGTTTACCTATTAAAGATGGTGATTTTCTAGTTCGCTATGTTAGTCATTACCAGAGGATATCATCATTTACCTGTGTTTCAAGGGGTTTGTTCAAACCCCTCTATTAATCAACCAATGGGAAGAGGTCATGACGCCGCCCTGGCTGCATCCCGCTGGCGCCCTGGCAGGCCTTCAGCACGTCACTCAGGACTGTGGCTCCTCCATCCTGCAAAATCCAGCCAGGCTTCATGGAAAGCTATTGAACATAGTTGATTTACAGTACCTATTTTTGGTGACTTAAAATCCCATGTTGGTTGAAGATCCCATTTTTCAGATCCCACGGGGCGCTTTGTTCGTTCGTTTCGTTTCCCCCGCACGTTGAAGCGTTGAAGCGTTGAACTCACCGAGCCCCACCTCGCTACTAATGAGGTCCAACTTTTCTAAAACGATAAAGTGAACCAAGGCGTTCCTCGCGAAGGCGGCGAGGAGCTTCCGAAAGGGGTGAACTGTCCAACGGAGACAAAAAAAAAGATGTTGGGGGACTTTGCTGACTTTGGGTTTCAGATCTTCAAAATCTTTATAGTGTTTATTACTGTGTTAACCATAGGGAATATTATAATGGTGTTATACTGTGTTTTATCCATAGGGAATATCTTTATAGTTTTTATTACTGTTTTTTTTTGTGTTCAACTATAATCCCTATGGATCCAATCACTGTCTGAGAAGGTACTTAATCCCATCAATCATACCCCGAACACTTCCTAAGAAGGTACTTGGATCCATAGGGAATATAAGTCTGCTTATTATATAAATCGAAAAGGGGCCCAGTGGCCCTCATACGAGGTCACAAGCCCCTTATTTTGAGTGTCGCAACGTGAACCAAATGGCTAGCCTTTGGAAAGGAGCGATCAAGCTCTCAGTCAGTGTTGCAAAGGCCTAGTGGAGGTTCGATTTGGACAACTCCCCCAGCAACAGATAGTCGCGCTGAAAAATATCTGAGCAGAACCGTCGAACATCTCAAAATACCTTGAGTCATCTTTGACATGCCACATTTATACAGTAGGGTGTCCCTTCACCAGGAAACCCATGTTATACCTACACATCCTATAGCTACAGTTATGGCCCTTTACAACTAGTTATAAGTACTGAAATAAACCCATTTATAGAATGTGTTTTTCCCATAGAAATTCACCAGTTATAACGTTTATAGCTATGGCCATCACTCCATCAACCTTGCTGAAGTATATAAAATATTATAAAATATCTCCATCCCCATCTATACCCAATACCCTCTGGTAAACTGTCACATAACTATGGAAAAATCACCATGTTTAATGAGTAAATCACCATTTTTACAACCATCATTAATTAATGATTAGCCACTATGATATAACACTTATATACTTATTGACCACAACTGTTTTTTTATCACCATAGAAATCACCAGTTATAACGTGTATAGGCAGCCATGGCCATGGCTAACGTCTATGACTTTCTCGGCGAGCTGCAGGGACCACAAATCCCCATCGAAGGTGGGGTACGAGGAAGAATCGGTGATGCCCTTCATCAGAGGACCGTCCTGACTTTTTTTCGACCAAAAAAAACCCTGGGGGTGGAAACCGTGGAGAACGGCTTTAGGACTGGACGTGCTGAGAAAGCATGGTTTAAAAAATCATATCCAACATTTGGGGGCTTAGCATGTTTTTTTTTTTTTTTTATACTAGATGAATGACACATATGAGTCACATTGACATGAAATTATAGTATAAAGCAAAACTGTATAACATGGATTTTTTTTGGTGCTTTAAAATACATTAAAACGGGGAACGAAATCATTTTCAGGTATCAACATCAACAGAAAGTTGTGATGTTTCCATCGGCATTCAAATGGAGGTGCCGTTGATACGGCGAAGTGGCTTGCCAGCTGGTCAGGAACAAGCTGCACTTACCCTCTGGTAAATCTAAAACAGAATTATGAAACAACAAACTGCATGTTAATACCCATAGGATCCATGTACGGTATATATATATGCTAACATTTTGGGGTATATTCATGGTAAATGATACCATATATAGACATATATATATATATAGCATACATTGATCCTATGTTCATAGGTAAATCATCGATTTTGAATGGACCATGTTCACCATGTTCCATAGCTAGCCATGGAACATGGAGGGTAACCATCCAAGCGCCTCACCCACAGAACTCGAGACGGAGATCGAAACGGAGGCGCTCGGAAAGGCGATCGAAATTGAGGAAACATCCCCATCAATCCATCATGTAATACTTGACTATAAGTATATGTCTATATCATAGTTAACTAGCTAAATAGCATATTATATATATAGACAAACTATAGTCATCAATATGAGGTTCATCAAACAAAATATCCCTTAATTAACTTATATTAACTGAAGGTAAACCAAATTTCTTGCCTTATTCTGTGCCCGCTACCTGGGTTATCCTGGGTGACCTACGACAACTATAGTTACCTAAAGTTATACCCACTCACTTGTAAACCAACATAACTATGGAACATCACCATTTTTTAATGGGAAAATGCACTATCAATCACAATTTTCAATAGCTATTTTGACATAACCAGAGGGTAACCACCATAGTCAACACTGATCTTGGTAAACCAACTTAGCGAACGGAGGCAGCACCTTGCACAACTGTCAGCACCATTGAACCTGCTGCAATGATGTAGAACTTGATGGCTGCTTTGATCAGAAAAAAAAAAACGCGATCTGGAAACATATGCCCATAAAGTAGACAAAAAAAACTTCGGACACATTTGGAACCTGTACTCGTGAGCTTTGAGCGCTGTTCATGGTCGGCCAATCTGCAAAAAAAAATAGGTATGGTACTAGTAAAATATCAATTTTACCCTCCAGTAAACTAACATGGCTCTGGAAAATCACCATGTTTCATATAGCTATATTAACTGTTTCTATGGCCATGTTCAATAGCTTTGTGAAATTGCCAGAGGGTATACCACCCAAAAAAAACACATTTTGCTTACGTTCCAGTCTTGGGTGTTCCGGCCAAGATCCAGCTCCAACGAATTCCCCCAAAAATGCATGCGGAAATAGATCGCTATGAGGAGATATAGACCGCTTTATTCCCAAAAAATTGGATTTCTGGGGAAAGATTAGGAAAATCGTGGTTGTTCAAAACACTCCAGCAAACGGCCCAGTTTTTTCAATTGATTTAATGACAAGTAGCCGTCTCAAATTCATGGGCATGCCAGTTCAAGCAAAACCGGAAGTCCACCTTATTGACACCTGGCGTGTCAAACGCAGGGGCAGTGTCGACACACGAAAAAAAACGGCATGGAATCTCGGGCCGTAGGGTTTCTGTAGCCTGTTTCTTGTTAACCCAGGTTCAATGTTTGATCATTCTGAATGTACCATCTGGTTATTTAACAGTTCGCCATGGTATAGATGGCCCATGGAAATAGATGGTTTACCGTTCTCAAAAATGGGTGGATCTTTCCGTGGCAAACTGTTTAATAATCATACGGTATCTATCAGAATCAAATATCTATTATAAAATATTATAAATAGCATTATCACCAATAGTATCTATACATTATCACTATAATAGCCATCTAACTAGTTTAATAATCAAATGGTATATTCAGTTTTTTTTTCGCTCATCATGGCATGGGTCAACTTCCTGGCATCCTCACCCCTCGTCAGACATGAATAGAAATTGTCCTCCGAATGTCCGAAATCCTGTCATGACACCAATCCCAGTCATCCTCGTCGAGCTGAGCTCGATGTTTCCACCACAAATCACTAGTTATGTTTCCCGATGAATGTAATACTTCCACTCTCTGTCGCAAAACATGGTCAGTTAAATTCTATATCAACAATCAAATGACCAGCGCAAGTCTTCAACCGACCATGACTTAGCATTGAAACCAGCAACCATGGTGACTTGGAGATCCCTCATTTTAAGAACCACCCCACATCTATATGTTCCATTTGACGATTCCACCAATATCGACGCTATAATCATTATATGATACACATATTCGATGCTATATAAAATGATGTCATATCCATTCTTCCGTAAACAAACAAACTATGGAACATCACCATGTTTGATGGTAAAATCAACTATTTCTATGGCCATGACCAATAGCTATGTCGAATTACCAAAGGATATATAAGAAGAAACCACCTGGAAAAATATCAATGGGAAGGATTATCCCATATATTATCCCATAGGATCCATGTAATATATGCTAACATTTGGGGTATATTCATCGGATCCATGTTACCATATATAGCAGCAGCATGGATCCTATGTTCATAGGATTTCAAAGGTAATTCATCGATTTTTAATGGACCATGTTCACCATAATTCACCATGTTCCATAGCCATGGAAAGTCATAAAAGCCACGTTCCAAACACTGTCTGAGAAGGTACTAGACTTAACCCCATCAATCATACCCCTTGGCCACTTCCTAAGAAGGTACGGCTGGATCCATAGGGTATGGAAAGTCATAAAAGCCATGTTCCAAACACTGTCTGAGAAGGTACTTAACCCCATCAATCATACCCCTTGGCCACTTCCTAAGAAGGTACGGCTGGATCCATAGGGTATGGAAAGTCATAAAAGCCATGTTCCAAACACTGTCTGAGAAGGTACTTAACCCCATCATCATACCCCTTGGCCACTTCCTAAGAAGGTACGGCTGGATCCATAGGGTATGGAAAGTCATAAATGCCATGTTCCAAACACTGTCTGAGAAGGTACTTAACCCAATCAATCATACCCCTTGGCCACTTCCTAAGAAGGTACGGCTGGATCCATAGGGTATGGAAAGTCATAAAAGCCATGTTCCAAACACTGTCTGAGAAGGTACTTAACCCCATCAATCATACCCCTTGGCCACTTCTTATGGATCCATAGGGTATGGAAAGTCATAAAAGCCATGTATTGTTTCATATATTATGCCCTATGGATCCGAACAATTGCCCTATTCCTATGTTCACCATATTTCACCATGTTCCAAACCAACCATAACCCGGTCGACCTGTCGATCCTTGATCGATCCCCTGGCGCCTTGTCGTTCCATCTCCCTCTTCACCGCTTGGCCACGGATTTGCCACCGCAAGCCCTGGCAGGGACACTTCCAAAGAAAACGTGGGAAAATACGCAGAACCTGCTGGGAAAAGATGGAAACACATGGGAAAACCCAGGGAAAACATGGGAACATTATGATGAGAAAATGGTGATTGAGCACAAGGAAATTCAGAAACATGAGAATTGAAAAATTAAGTGATTGGTTTTAAGCGTTGTTATCAAGGAAAAACATGATTTAACCCAACAAAACATGCAGATTAATAGTAGCTGTTCAGTTATGAGTATTGCCATTGTACCAACATGATTAGATTATCATTTGGGTGCTGACGATAATTGGCTAATAGAATCAGTACCTTGGGGTGCCGTCCAGTAATTGTAATGATAAAGTAATTATGGTTATTGTAGTATTACACTTAAAAATGTTACATGTTCATGTTCACTTCAGTAAAATGGCTAATCACTAGTATCGGTCACCAGACTCTTTCACTAGATTCAATGATTGTAGTTGTCTAATGTTGTCTAATTATAGGTATTGCACGTGCAGAAGTTTTTCAAACATTGTTTTGCAGTATTAGCAAGTCTTTGCTGTTCGACTTGTTGTTCAAATTATTGTCGCGGCATTGATTAACAAGCTTTGTTTGACAGTAGAAAACACGGCGGGCGAAGCTACACGTTGGTATCTACACCCATGCAACTGCACATATATTTGTAGGTCCACCATGAACCAAACAGCTGTGATCTTACCAAGGTCTAGAACATGTCTCACAAATACTGGGACCCCCAAGTCCTATCTCATCTACAGGCAGGTCTATAGAAATATATAGAAATATAACATGTACCCTCCAGCAAACTAACATAGCTATGATGAGCTATGATGAGCTATGATGAGCTATGATGAGCTATGATATAGATGGTTTGTTGGTAGATGAATTTCCCTTCCATCTATACTCACCTAATCGCTACAGCGGAAATGTCTCGCAGCCGTTCCCGGGGAGTTCCCGGCGCCATGGCGCCCCCGGGGATCGCACCGTCTCAATGGACGGCGTAATGATGCGGGCTTCGGCGGGGATGTTGGCATCCGTGCCCAGGGCTTGACGAATCTGCGAGGGTTCCCAGAAGGCTTTGCCTCGACGTTTTTTTGGGACGGTTAGTTTTTTCCATGTGAAGATCACGGGGAGTCAACGGATTAGTACCTTCCGGTAATTTAACGTAGCTATTGAAAATTACCATTTATAGTATTGATTTACCCATTGATATTTTCTATAGCTACGTTAGTTTACCAGAGGGTAAGTCCTGTTGAGTTCACATAAGTTCACCATGATTCATAGGAAACCCCTGACACTGGCTTAACAAGCCCCTAGGGCCCCAGGCGGTGAATCACCCCGAAATCAATGCCGTAACTGGGGGGAGCAGTCACCTTTAACTTCCGTGACGTAATGGTTTCCATGTATGGTTTCCAATGGATATGATCTAGAAATGGTGGATGTTTGATATCTACGTCTGAGTTTCTGAAAGGTAACCTCGCCATCAAGTGTCTCATTGGAGCATGATTTTGGTCAGTTTGAAATGGAGCAAGTCTCACATATTTCTGGCCGGAATTTTCGGGTCAAGTTATAATACTTCACTAACCTGAAATATTGCGGCCATTTGGGGATGATTTCTCTAACATAAACCATGATTCCAGTGAGGGAGGACAGTGAGTCCTTTAATTTATTGTACTATACCCAGATATATGTGATACGATTATTTTCAATGTCTAGACACAATGTATCTCAAAATGAAGTATTTGTCAAACAAATCATCATAAAAAATGTAATAAAATAATATAAATAGTTGGGGAAACAGTCCTCATTCATACAGTACCCTCTGGTAATGGTAAACTAACTTAACTATGGACAATCACCATTTTCAATAGGTTAAACCAACTATAAATAGCTATTTTCAATCGCTATGTTAGTCATTACCAGAGGGTAAATCTCATTGAACCACCGGCACTGCTAACTAAGGTCAACCGGTCACTGCGATCATGTTTGGCGGATCTGCGACCCACGCGCCAGCGCCCACAAAAACAAGACCCCACGTTGTACGATTCGAATATGTATATATATAGATATATATTCATATATATTCATGATGTGATAAGATATGATATCCCCATGAAACAACTTAATTAGATAATATGTGTGTAGCCAATTCTGCAAGTTGCATAGAATCTTTTTGTTGTGGAAGCTCTTGTGCAAATGCTGCGCCACCAAACCAAGGGCCACCTGGTTGACAAGGACCATGGCAGGTGCGGTTGACTCGGCTGGTATGTGGTATTGTCCAACAATCTCACACATATTACAAGTAGATAAATAGATAGCTAGATAGCTAGATAGCTAGATAGATAGTTAGCTAGATAGATAGATAGATAGATGCACATCCCCTCTGGTAATGAAACATTGCAATGAAACAAACAAAACATGTGCAGAGGATTTCCCAGCTGAAACCTCCATCTATGGACTATTTCCAAGCGCCATGTTTGATTACCAGAGGTTGTATATAGATAGAATATAAGATGTAAAATATGTTTATATATATATATATGTGAGTTATATACATATAATCACACATATATTGTACATGTATATATATATATATATTCCGTATATACACATAGTCAGCAATCTGATGCTGTGGGCTTGAACTAATCGGATAGCCAAGAAAAATCCACATGATTCTCATCATGTTCTCCGAAGGAGAATGTGCCAAATAAAACTACGGTTTATTACATGATGCCCGTTTCTGACGAAACTTCAACATTTTTTTGAATCATATGGAAAGTATGATGTAGAATTATGATCTAGATAGATGATACACCAGCTGGGATGCACATTTTTGTTCCAACTAGATTCCGCGTCAGATTGACAAAAGAAACAAACAAAACACTGAGTTCTCATAGCTGGAAAGCTCCGGAGCTTTTCGTTGCACTGTTCCGCGGACAACCGGGGGGTGCAGAAGGGGCTGTAAAATGCTTGACATTGCTATATAATATTAGCACACGCACACGTATATACATATATATATATATACACACATATATATATATACATATACATAGATTGATTTAATTAATACCCTCTGGCAATCAAAAATGGCAGTTGAACATGCACCACTGACATCTGATTTTCCGATTACAAACAAACAAACAAACAAACAAACCGCACTGGGATTTTCAAGTGTCATGTTTGATGACACCCCCACATGGTATAGATGAGCAATTCGGCAACTTAGCTGAGGCCTGGTCACAACTATAGGTGCGTTCTTTGGCTTATAATTCTTACCCACCAAGAAATGGAAAGTTGTGCTTCCAAGATTGTATATTTAGATGTGTTTTTTCCCAATGCATTTCAATGCATTTCCATTTTTTTAGAAGGTGCCCAACTCTTCAGCATCCTTGGGATTGCTATACTTCGATTTGCTTTGCTTAAAGGAAGCCCCGAAAAAAGAACAACAAGTTCCCTTGCTTCAACTCGAGTTTCTAGTGGATTCCACAGTATCGACTCTGCAATTCCAATATGTGTGATGGAGATAGCGAATGGTTGTGCCATCGACACAGCAAATCAAAGAAGAAGAATAGCTATGTCGTTATCATCTTTAACTCAACAGTCAGCTTATAGATTCCATTTGAAGGGATTTTCCCATACTTTCCCACATCTTCCGATGATTTCCCAGCTCTAAACCGCCATTTTTCGGGGATTTTCCATGCTTTCCATGTATTCTGGACCTGGCGATATTCCGCCACTTCGTTCAGCAAGTCCCGGAATTGCTGCGTGTCCACCTTTGTTGTGGCACCATGTGGGTGCCCCCGATGTTTGTGGTAGCTAAGTATGTAGCTAAGTTGGGTGAAATATCTTGGTGAACTCTAGGTTTTGTGGATGTTCATGTTAGTTATATGGTGTATATATATATATATATCTGTGTGGTAGAGATATGGTATATATATATATATACATAATACATGATAGATATATCGAACAGAAACATCCATAAACCCTATATCTTCATGGGTTCACCTACAAATGTCACCGATTCTGCAGATTGCCAGCTGTTCAGGGTGTCACATTGACCCAAATCCAGGTCCGTTGTCATGGTCTTTAAACAATGAACATTCTATGCAAATGTATACATCAGTTATCCAAATAATTTATAGATATTATCCCATTACGGTATATTGTGCTAACATGTCATGTTGAACCATGTTGGTTTAATCATGTTAAATATTGTTAAATCACATTACCTATGGTTTCCTAGGCTTTTCATGGTCATAAAAACACCGAAAACATGGATCCAGATCTCGCTCAAGACACCAAGGGTTGACTCTTGTCCGTCCATTCGCCCTTTGCTAAGGCTTGGGGCAACCTCAGATCCCATCGAAAACACATTGGAAATCATGGACCGATCATGGGGAATATGGTTGTTACTGGTTGATTGGTTGATGGGAAAAAATCGGAAATGATTGTCGAAGCATTGTTAGGAATATTGTTAAGATCCTTTGGAAACCATCGTTGTTAATGGTGGTTCTTGACCATGGTGGCTGGGAAATCCCCTATAGAGGTTTACCCTCTGGTTATGTCAAAATAGCTATTGAAAATGGTGATTTATAGTGGATTTTCCCATTAAAAATGGTGATTTTCCATAGCTATGTTAAATTACCAGAGGGTATATTGTTGGAAAATCCCCTTTAGCCAAATGATGAATTTCTGCGGAGGGCAACCAACATAACCAACATTCGAATGTGCCTATTATGATATGAGGACACATCTTCGCGAAGGCTGCGAAGGGATGACCAGGGATGACCACCGGGGAAGGTGTAGAAAAGTTCTGGGAAACTGACGAAGAGTTTTCTCGCTGCATAGCTGAAATTTGAAGAACCCAAGGGCTCTTAATCCCACTTAGTAAACTTTTTACATATTTATGCCTCACCATAACAGCTCTCCCACATACATACAATATATATATATACAATATACATTATATCCACATTATTTTGTCCATACAAGATGAGCTTTGAAATCATTAAACTAACCTATACCTCGAACATCGAAAAAGTATAATCCGAGCAAATTGATGGTCAATGACGTTCCTGTCTTTTTTTTTCCGGGGCTGGGCCTTTCCATGGCGAGAAGCTTATGAGAGATGATGCCATGAAGCATCAAATAGTAAAGTCGCGGGGGCAACCTGAGATGAGCAGCTTAACCCTGCGGTGGATCGAGGGATTTGTGGTTGCAATAGATATGAAAATCACGGGATGTTATTCCCTATGGATCCAATCACTGTCTGAGAAGGTACAAGACACCCCATCAATCATCTCCCCTTGGCCACTTCCTAAGAAGGTACGGCTGGATCCATAGGGAATCAATATTCTTGCAGCTATGGCCCTTTATATACCAGTTATAAGTACTCAGTCACCCCATGATAGAATGTATAATCCCATGTGTAATCAGTTACAACCAATGAAATTGCCAAAACTGTGGACATGAATGGGATATGAATCGCTTGGGCAAATGAAATCTAATCCGACCAACAATCGACCCAGCCATACGTTGAGAAGTTGGAAGATGGAAGACTGGTTGGTGGTATACCTACCCCTCTTAAAAAATATGAAAGTCAGTTGGGGTGATTATTCCCAACTGAATGGAACGTCATAAAATTCATGTTCCAAACCAAAAACCCTATTTCTTCAATGATTCAAGAAAACAGGGAATTCTCAGGGCCTATATGGTAGTTGGAGATGCAACATTTCTCTGATGATTTAAGTCTCAAATTCAACATCACCTGCTTCTGCTGGGGATCTGGTGGGCATCGACATGGAACAACCACCATCTATAGACCACTTTTCTAGAAGCACATTGGTTTTCCATACCTATATATATATAATCTATAGGATAATCTTCATGCCATACCTATATCTGAAAAAATAATCTATAGGATAATCTTCATGCGATATGATCTATCGGTTTCTTGCCCCCTACACCCCCAACAAAAATGAAAAACCACCAAACCAACCGTTGCCCCCCAAAATGCCCGCTTACCTTTCAAAGCCCAAGCGACTTCTGTCCCATGATTGAGGCAAAATCATTTGGAACCTGCAGCCGGACATTCGCCATTACCCCTCGAGGCCAGTTGGATTGAACATTGGATAAAATTGGAGGGCTCTCGCGACCGAATTCAGAAACACCAAACGGTGGGAAAGGGACATGTAGGTTCTCTGAAACGGAGCCGATCTCTAAGAAAACCATTCTACATCTTTTTCGCCTGATTCAAACCAAACAAAAGAAACACTCAGCTGGGTCTGTCATGCGTTGCATGCCCGATGTTTGTTAAACATCCTGACCGCGGTTCATCTGCGATGGGGCAGGCGGACTTTCTCTGAAGTTAAGGGTCCGTAATCAACTAGAACACGAAACAACATATTTCACTGTAAAATGCCACAGCATACGAAATATCCGAGTTATGGGCTATATAATGTTATATAGGGTTGCTATATAAAAGTAGGGATTGGAAACCAATGAACAGTTACCATGTCTTGATTTTCATTATCCAATACGATCCCCATCATATCCCCAACTATATGGTTGTTGGTTAAATGAGTTAAACACCATAGAAGCCAGACTTGGATGTGCGTCTCAAATAGTAAATGTTGTATGACTGCTGCAATTATAGCCTATACATATTCCATACATATCTCTCTATATGTTTGTTCCCACATTTTCCATATTTCCCATGAAATAACCCCATCACCTTCTTGTATACCCACATGTTCCCACATGTTTATCCAATCTTCTAAGTTGTTTTTCCGGGTGAAACCATCGTAAATCACGGTCAACCATTGAATCTTCCACACCAAAATTTCATGTCTTTTGCCGCTGGTTAGTTTTTTGATTTCTGGGAAAAAAAAACTCAAGTAAGCATTCAAATACTCAAGTTAGTTGGAGATGGTGGTTACCCTCTGGTCATTTGTTACATAACTATGGAAAATCATAGAAATAGTGAATTTTCCCATGAATAGCATGGTAATTTTCCATACCCATAGGATCCATGTATGGTATATATGCTAACATTTGGGGTATATTGATGGGATCCATGTCACCATATATATATATATATAGCATACATGGATCCTATGGGATAGTTATGTAACAAATGACCAATTTTCCATAGTTATGTAACAAATAACCATAGTTATGTAACAAATTTTCCCATGAAAAATATTGAAAAATTGTAATTTTCCATAGTTGTCATTTCTGGCCCAACAAAAATCACCGAACCGCCATCGTCCAGATCGTCCAGGCACCGGCGGGGGCGTGCCGCCCTGCTTGCAGGCGCCCAAGGGGCGGATGGCATGGTCGCCCAGGTGCAACACGGGACTGTTCTGCACCAGGACCTGCCCAAGCTTGGTGTATCGGGATATCATGGGGATCTGCTTGGTGGTTTCATCATCAACTCCTCTGAAAAATGATGGCGTTCGTCAGTTGGGGTTATGAAATTCCCAACTGAATGGAAAAATAAAAGCCATGTTCCAAACCACCAACTATAGGGATATGTTAGCAACAATCATATCTTATCCTCATATTCTTTAAACATAAACACCCCTAAACGAAACCATGGTTTTTTATAGGGCATGAAACCACAGGGGAATGGGATTGATGGGCATTGACCCGACCTGGTGGGACATGGTGATGGCCCCATTGATGGGGTGGAAATATCTGCCATTGGACTATCGAAGAACCAATCTTTTTAACACGAAAACGCGTAGATCTGCCCTCAAACACTTCATTCTTGGTGTTGTATATATATACTATAAATACACGTGTGTGTGTGTGTAGAATATCTCAATTTAAAGAAGCTAAGCAACACCTCAAAATGGCCGAAGAAACATCAACCCAGCACCACACCAAGCCACCAGCCCAGTTTCGACATAAAACAGAACCAGGCAACACTGTGTTCTCCTCCCTGTGCCCCCGTGCCTTGCAAATACAGTATCCATCTACATGGTCACTGCGCATGTCGTCAGTGGGAAAGGTCTGCATCCAATTAATCAACGGCGCCTGTTTGATGATGTACACCTCAGCGTTGAGATTCAAATGATTCAGAGGAAGCTAGCTCCAGCAATACTTTTCTATGTTTTGCGGGACCTTAGTTGATAAGTTTCATTTGGCTTAAGTACAGCTGTTGGATTTTCATGGTAGATTTCTACCGACTCAGCCGGCTGAGTCGGGGGCACCATCCCAGACAGGCCGTTGATTGCAGCTGTTTTACATTGTGGACATACAGAATACCAATGTGACATTGATAAGTATATTTATATTTAAGTTGCCCATTGTAGTTCCAAACAATAGTTTTATTGGTTGTACAATGTGGGGCCCCCCAGTTATAAGTTGGTTTATAAACTCCATGAAAACTATAGTTAAAAGTATCATAAACCATAGTTATTGGAGCTATTTGCACCAACTTAGCTATCTAACGGGGACCCCACATTGTAACAAATGTCCCAAAAATGTGGACCTACAATGTGGACCTCCGTCCAAATTGGCCCAGTGGCTGCCGCATCAAAGTTGAAGCGCGGAGCTTGCTGCCTCGATAAAAACGCAGGAAAAAGTGCTGTGTACTGGGTATCCTCCGGTACTAACCTGTGGTAATTTGACAGTTTGCTATTGAAAATGGCCCATTTATAGTCGATTTACCTATTGAAAATGGTGATTTTCCATAGTTATGTTAGTTTACCAGAGAGTAGTTATTACACCATGGACCATTGATATTAAAAAGCTATATATATATATATATCATATGTGAAATGTAAATGAATAGCTATGTTGGTTTAAATGTTTGACTTGATCGACCTATTTGTCCAGCATTAATTGGTTTAGTTTAAATGTGCCTTGGTTGATCTACCTATCAAAAATGGTGTTGTTCCATAGTTATGTAAGTTTACCAAAAGGCTACATATGAACTGTAATGTTGGGTATATCGAATATGTATAGTGACTCGGACACACACACACATATATATATATATATGTTATGTATATATATATATGAAAAACAAAACTTATCCAATATGAACTGTAATGCTGGGTGATATGCCGTGGATTCTTAGCTAGTATTCAAATAATACCCAGTATTACAGTTCATATATACCCAGCCATGTAATACTGGGTAATATTCATACTAGCCATGTATCTAATATGAAAAAAGGCTGGTATTAAATAGATGCTGCACATGGCTGATAACTTGGTCATGTATCAAATGCATGTATCTAAGGTGTGTGATAAATCATTCCTATAAAAACAAGTAGTTATATCATATAGAATGTCCTTAGTTGCAGAATAATTGGGTTTGTCTGAAAACACGGTATCCAAAATTCTATGGCTGATCGCCATTGTCAAACAAGCCACTAAGTCACTATGGGTTGTTCATAGGTTCTCTCACTCTCGCGCCATCATACACCGGTTAGTAACCTGGATTCTTCGCCATTTCGTTTTTGATCACTGGTGTGCCGTAAATTACCTGTATATCCCCAATATAGGGTTATTCACTAGTAGTCAAGCAAATCATCATTGGTCCTTGTTATTCTTACCCTAGTATTATCCAAACACAATATTATCAAAACAATAATGATTATTATTATATTTATATAACCATATTAATCCAAATTTCGATAGTTAATTCACCAAGCATTTCATCTAATCACTCGCCAGTCGCATTTTGCCCAGGCCCTATGATGCCAAGAGGCTGCTGAGGCTGGAAGGTACTTAGGTTCAAGTACCTGACGTGAAAACTTCGAAAGTGCTTAGTGTTTCTGGGAGTAATGAACTACCATTCAATCCATGTATAATTGGGATAACCTAAGTGATTACTGGGATTAGTCAACTACCATTCATAAATGGGATAAGCTACTTGGAGAATCATCCATGATCACCCCATGACTCCAAACAAAATACGTAGTATTTCTGGGATTACTACCAGTTATACTATGGGATAAGCCACGAAACAGGAACGAATCCGATCACCAGGGTGATTCACCACTTCAACTAGGCTGATCCTCCAAGGACTGCCCTGGTGATTGAACAAAGGCAGCAATGGATTGTTCAGCAGACATGGTGACTTAACCAACCAAAATGATATGAAAATGATATGAAGTAGAAGTTTACCACTCTTTTTTAAAACCGATTTGGTGAGCAAAGCCATCTGTTCACGATTGGGGCTATGCTCTATATATATATATACATAGAACTAGGCAAGGAGATGGAACAAAACGAGCAAACAAAACTGGAGGACACCACCTTGTATCAGTCACAGTCTTATATATATATATATAAGCCAACGTGCCTATCTAAGGGAGGCCTTTCTTACATAATCCCAAATAATGCGAAGAGTCATCATACATATTTTTTGTAGTTTATTCAGCCGCGGCAAATATGGGACTGTGCGGACATGCAATGACAGGTCAGCAACCGCGAAAAAAAACACCACACAAACGAACCAACACAACGGAACATAACAAAAAGAAACCAAACAACAAACACATATAAAAACAAAATCGATTTCCGGATACTATAAACACACAGTGAAAAATCATGAAACACACTGAAAATACGTTGAGCAGTGCTTGGCATGCCATGGTTCACCGCGGTTCACCGGCATGCCATGGTTAGCCGAGAGACGGATACGTCAAGCAATACTCTGTGCCTGCCAGCATGCACGCATCCACAAACCTCGAAAATTCAGGCGGGGCTTTGGAGTCCGGTTTGGTTGTCCCATCGATGGGTGTTGAAACATTTTGAAACCCTATGAAAATGAAGATTTCACCCACCAAAAACTGGTGGTTTAAATGTTAAACAAATGGGAAGTTGATTTAACCAACAGAATGGTGGGATAGTAAGGATTTGAGTCATGTTCAGATAGGACAAAAGTACAGCACCCTTTCAGGATTGTGAACAGTTCCTGGGCACTGCCATTGCCTTTGCCAAGAAACTCGTCCCAAGATAAGCTCCACTTCTCAAGCACGCTTCCTGCCGCTGAGACACATCATCCTTCCCAAAAAAGGCAGCAAAGAGGATGAGAAAATATATGGTTATGGGATGTGGTCAAAACCTGGTACCTGAGGCACCCTAACCTTATCCCTAAAATAGTTGGTTAGATGGTTATTCCCCCCGTGGCAATAGTAGGTTTTGACCCAGCCCATCCCCATCATATGAGAAAGCATGAAGTGGATATCAATGGAAACCAGGACATCTATGAAAGCCACCACCGTAAAGCGGTTGAAATCTTCCTAACGCCAAGGCGCCAAGGTCCACCCAATCGAAGGCTTGCTGTCCAAAGTTGAGATGAATCACCACAGACTTCACACCTCAGTGGTCAATGGATTGGTTAAGGGTTAAGTTAAGGGGAAAAATAGGCGGAAAAAACACAGCAAACACACGGTTTTGATTACCAAATACAAGGTTTTCCTGTAGATTTTTCCCTTCAACCAATTCATGGGAATGGCACAACGACACTTGGGTCAGGGTGAGAATGGCAACACCCCAGATACGTTTGGTCCTCCCTGTTGCATATATCCTGACATATATTCTTACATTCTATCTGACATGATGGGTGTGAACCAATATTTGTAATGATTAATGGATTCTCCGCATTTTTTTGGGTTAACAGTTTTAACCAAGAATGCATGTAAAATTCAATCATGATAAACAAGTTTTGTGGATCAGAGATGGGATTTCACAAGTTTTTTGCATGATTTCAGTTGATTTACTGCAATATTAAAAATCCATCCGATACTATACTAGAAACCACCAAACTGATGGTGTGTTTTTCATAGTTTTCAAGTGTTTCGCCAATTTTGATAGGAAATCTGACCATTTGCAGATGAATGCCATGCAGTGACTCATGGTCCACCCTCCGGCATTGAGATGAAATCTGATGAACTGACCACAAGGTGGTGCCCCTGAGTTAAAAACTTGGTTTGTTCACCCTATTGAGGATTGAAGTCACCAACAATAGAGTTGCTCCAACCTACATACCTTAGGCAAATGATAGCCACAAGGGTGGTTTATTGAACATTTCGGCCTACCCAATTTGCCGCTCACACGAAATATGATCATTGATTTTCAAAATCATACATATTTGTCTCCCTAAACCCAATGGTTAAAATCACCATTGTTCCTCTTAAATGGCTACAATTGGAGGTACGGTATACCGGTGTACCCATCTCCATCCATTTCCAAATACCTTCCGCCGTCAGGATGCCATAGAGCAGAAGCCCGGGGGGACCAAAAATGGTCTGCACCACGCCCTGCTCCTGAAGGAAAATTAAGACTTCGACCCCGCCAGGAGTTGGAAGACTAGTGAAACATAGTGAAACCACTAAAAGTTGATGATTTTCAGGGTCGAACTGTGAATTTACCCTTTGGGTATCTTTATTCAGTCGGAGTAAACACTAACCGTTTTTTTTTTGAATTTTGACCACCTATTGGGACAGTTACCCGCACTCTAACCTTCATTCCAGTGAGGTCGCAGCGAGGTCGTTATAATTTACCCAAATGTGGTTGTAATAAGTAATGTAATGTGGTTGTAGTACGGTCATTAGATAGTTGTCTCATAATTATAAAACAGTTAGAATAGATAATGATGGTAATGTGTAACTAATGTTGTAGTAGTTGCCAACCATTGACACTGAGCATTACCTCAGAGATACACTGCACACAACTTCACTTGTTGGCTTGTAGATATCCGTAGTTATGGCCAATGCATGCCATCTCTCAAGCTTCACAGCAGGGCAGAGCTGGCAATGGAAGATCCTGGATATTCATCCATTTATGTCCATTTTAAAAGAGAGTTTCCGTTGCCTGGGATGGGATTAGTTGGTTTTAAAGAGCTATGACTGGAACTTAGTGGGCAACCCAATAGTTGTGAAGCTATGACTATCCCTATGGATAGTTTTGGGCTTTCACAATGATTCGGAGTCCAGGTTGCAGCACCCAGTTTGTTGATTCACTGCACAATACATGGGGATGGGTCAGAACCCATAATTTTCATATGCTTCATGTTTTTCCCCTCCCCGATATATAATTAGGGAACATGGACATCCAGCTTTGCGTAGCTTTACCAATTGTTTTGATGCGAAAACCAGGGTGCCAAGGTTTTGACCGGCAAACGGCAAAAAACATGGGGATGTCTCCATACATGGCACGCTTGGCACGCTGAGACTGAATCCCGCAAAACCCGTCATTCAGCACATCTTGCCAACTATTCTGGTTGGTGGTTTCAACCCCTCTGAAAAATATGAAAGTCAGTTGGGATGATTATTCCCAATATATGGGAAAATAAAAAATGTTCCAAACCACCAATCAGTATTGTTGGTTACATATTCCACTATATCTCCTACATTGTGCGGCCCCCAAGATAGCTATGTTGGTTTATAACTACAATAACTATGGTTTATGGTATTTATAACTATAGTTACTGGGGCTTCTAAACCAACTTATAACTGGGGGGACTCACATTGTATATTTTGTTGCTTAATTCCCAGCATGTGAGTCAGGCTGACTATCTAGAATTTCTCTACAAGGTGGTACCCTGCACTTATCTTTGGTCTGTATTGTCTATAACGCATCATCTAACAAAGAATGTATATCTACCATACACCCTAGTTAAGATTACTATATTTATCTATATTTGTTAGGTAGGATGTCGAATTAGATCAGTATAGGATGTTAACTAGTTTCTTTGACCTATATATATATATATATGTATATATATATATATTGCGCATAAAACAATAATAAACCATCCCCCAAATCACCATAAATAGGTTGTATAATTCATTCCCGAATGGGTAGTTGATTATTGTTTTACCAACATTAATTAACTTTAACTATATACATGTTACTGCAATACTCAAATTGCTAAGTAGGAAGTTGAATTAATTAGATCAGCAGGATGTTGGTTATATAGTTTCTTTAATCTTAGTTAACATGCTTAACAAAGTTAAATAAAAAATGAGCATCACCCGGTTCCCCCCCATTCCATTGCATCTCAGTGGCGGCAAAGTGTGCCAGCTGGGCCCCAGCGAAGTAGGGCGCCTGCAAGCATTCGTAGCCCCGATTTCCTGGGCAGTGGCCGAGCGGAGGCTGCCGAGCGGATCCGAAAAATGTCGGGTTACCCTCGGGGAATTTCCACCATACCATAGGAAAACCATATAAAAACCATAGGAAACCATATAAAACCCTAACAATTGCACTTATGGCCCAAAATACCAGTTATAAGTACAGAAATAAGTCCATAATTTATAGAATGTCTTTTTTTTTAAATCCCGTTTATGACCAGTTGTAACTAAGATATGGCCATAACATTTAATAGTGGAAAATTGCAATGTTTAATATATCATTGATACATCTGGGTAAATTATAATATTTCACTAACTTGAATAGTTCGGCCATATTGGGATGATTTCCCTAACATTAACCATGATTTCCAGGGCTCGGGAGGACAGGGTTCGGTCGTTATGATTTACCCAGATACATGGACCATGTTCGCTATGTAATCCCTGGTCTGGGATAATGGGATACTGGGATGAAGCATCAAGTGGGGAAACCCCCTTGAAGAGTTGCACCTACTTGCCCTACTTCTGAGTGGAGTACCCACTTGCTGGAGTGAGCCACCAAGTATGTTTCTGTTGTTTTATGGAAGTAAAATGAAGATATAGCTAGGCTAAACGATGGATTTATGGTGGATATACCTGATCCATGGTTAGATGGAGATGCGAACCAGCAAACATACCTGGGGGGCCCTTCTTGTGGTCTGGTGGTTCATGCATTCTTTGGCTACACTACACGTTGCGAAACATCAGGGGCAACGAAATTACAAAAAACAATGTTGAGCACCAGGTGTTTTCCACAATATATTCAACGCTTTTCTCATAGGTAACAACTGATAACTGTCATGCATCTTCCTTGATGTAATCTTATTGTCAGGCTCCAAAATGAGCATTGGATATGCACAAAACCAGAACTCGAAATCCTGCAGCTGCGCCAGCTCTGGATTCCACACATGACTTGTCACCGCGGGAGTGCTTGGCGTTTTTGGGTAGTCCTTGCGCCTTCTGTGCAGCATAAACTTCTGCGGCCCTTGTTTTGAATGTTTTGAGCAAGCCCTTCCAAATGGACATGACGTTACTGTAGGTTTTTTGTAACTTTTCCGACAGCAAATGCTACCTGGCGCTCTGCAGGTCCGAAAGGCAAAGTTGCTTCTTGGCACGCCCCAAATCAGGAGGGGCGCGCGCTTGCGCCAGTCTGTGCCGTCTCAACAACTGAGACTGCCATGGACACACTAAACGGTCGAACACGTCAAAACCGCGAGCTTTCAACATCTCAATCATGATTTGTTGAGACATCCAGCTGATGCTTTCCCAATCTGAAGACCATATGGTAACATATTACAAGTATTCAATCTTATTTACCGACCTTTATCATATATGTTGAAGGGGGGTCCCTTAGCATCATACACATGGTGATGGCGAGGGCCCATCGTGCTAAGCAGGGCTTGAATGTAATTTAAAGCTATTGTAAAGCCGCAGTACTAACCATGAATCCCACATTGAATTCCCAAAATTATCTAAATTTTAAGTTCAACATTCTGAAACGATGATTTCGGTTCACATATTTACCATGCAGCATGCCCATAATTCCATTGACTTGAAAAAACATTAAACATGTCTCAACATAAATTTAATATCAATTCAACAATGCTAGGAGGAAAATCACATTGTTCCTTCCCATCTATTGAAGATGCCATTCCCATATATGTCTGAAACTAGGGTATCCCGAAATTCCTATGAGTTATAGGTAAATTAACAGTTCGACCCTGCCATGAGTTGGGGTTGGTGGTTCTTATCCATTCAACCTTGGCTATTTTCAGGGTCTCCATGGAGGCCAAGTTACACTCTCCGCCATGGAGGCCTATTTTAAACACCGTATTTTTCTGGATGTCTACCATTTTTCGTACATCCAGAAATATGGTGCATTAATGTGCATTATGGTGATGATGATTGGTGATAAGTTGTATCCTCCGAAAAATACGGTGATTTCACCATCTGCCAAGGTGCTAAGGTGATGGTAAATGAAATACACAAAGTCACCATTGATGCGACTCGTCGACACCTCGGAGAAAAGGATCCGTGAGCCGTGGCAAGGGCAATGGCGACACCCGTGAGACACACGACCGGGCTTTATAGACCGGTGGCATCTGATTGGCGACTGATGTCACAGATTTATTACCCATAGGATCCATGGTGCTGCTATATATGGTGACATTTACCATCAATATACCCCCAATTTTAGCATATATAGCATACATGGATCCTATGGGTTATGACATCTGACATTTTGGGGTGAACGAATCTGACAAATGCCAGGTTCTTTATGTTGATTCAAAGGAGAAAAACTCAAATAATAAATCAGTGATGACGAGGGGTTAACCCGTACCTGGACACTGTTGCGAGGTCCAGTTGCTCACCTCGTAGCCTTCCATACCCCGAAACAAAACAATGGCGTGGTATTTGCAACAACGATTCCCATCCCCCCAATATTAACACCCCCATTTTATGGTCCCAACTGTGGAAATACCCTACGAAACCATGGTTTCGTTTGGGGTGTGTTTAATCTTAGGGGGAAGGGACTATGAACCTCTTTTATCAGTATCCATGCTCCAACGCGCTCAAATCACACCCTGTTGATTTTAAGTGATGGTAAGGAATGTCACCCCTTATGATCCATTTTTATGATCAATGATGGGCACTGTGTTTTACATTGATGTCACTAAACAACCTTGCATCCTTTAGGATGTTCATGTTTCATCTTTTGCCTGGTGCACAAGTATGGCAATGCCTAATCCCCAATTCCTACATGATTTGAAGATCAAAGCCGCCGGATTACCCACCGGCCCGCCATGTTTGATGACATCGGAGGGTATCCCCATTCTTGTTGGTTATGGTGGTATACCTACCCTCTGAAAAATATGAGTTCGTCAGTTGGGATGATGACATTCCCAACTGAATGACAAATGAAAGCAATGTTCCAAACCACCAACCAGTAATTTAACTGATGAATAATAGAATTAGAATCACTGATGATTATAGAGTCACTAGATTAGTGTTGATTATATAATTAACAAAATCAGTTGTTGGTTATGTCACCATGATCTCACCAAACCCCAATTCTGGATGAGTTTCCAGCCCATTGCAACAAGGAGACAATGTATGATGACACCCGAGGGCGCCAACCAGTTTTCGTGGTTAAATCCCATTATACTCGCATTTTTCTAGGACATCAACACTATAACACTTACCATATAAGCTGATTAAACAACACCATTCACCAATGATAGAAATGTGTATGTATATATATATATATAAATATATATCATAGAATTTATCATTTGTATCATATATCTACTATATAACTACTACAAACATCCATAAACCACGGAAATCATCCACTTCTTGCACAACAAATTCAGATAGCTATCGGTCCACCATGTGACCATCTCCAAGGCACGGCAAAGCACTTCTGGGCAGAAGACTTCTCTCCCTGTGCCAGGTAGTTCCACGCCATATCCTGGCACCGGAGGAACCCCAAAATCTCTGGGATTTTTGCGGGATCCGAACGGCAAAAAAAAATACGTCATAGCTTTTGACCGAAAAAACCCGTATTAAAATATCCCAAGTGTAGATATTCTAAGTCAAGAAGATTGCCATCCGGCAATCAAACATGGGCGTTTTGGTAGGTTTAATCCCTATTAATCACCGTAACAATCCTATAAAATCACAATAAGATCCTGGAGAATCCCTATAAATGAACAAAAACCGGAAAATATCTATGAAATCACCACATATCACCACAAAATCCAATGAATCTAGATTTTGACACAGCCTCATTTCGATCAACGATTTCCGGCACCCAGTAAAATTGGTAAATATTCCAGCACCACGGAGCGTATGGGAATGATGTATTATATCATCGAATATCAATATATAAACAATGTTGTAGGATGCTCTCAAACAGAACGAAGAATCATATCATACTATAACAACATGATTATTTTCAACATCATATTTCTTGCTGATGCAAGACCCAGCGCTCATACATAAGTTGGTTTCACCCATGTTAGATGGTTACAAAACTACATGGATTATCTAAACTCCCTACAATGTGGGGCCCCCAGTGATGTTTGTTGGCTTGTAAACCCATCGAACTATAACTACGAACCAAACCCTGGTTATCTAAAGTGACTTTAACCAAGTTACTTAGCTAACTATGTTGGATGGTTGCAAAGTTTCTTGTTATCAGTATAAATGGGGATATCTGTCTATGTGTATATATATATATACATATATATCAGTATAAATGGTTGGTAATGGTTGATAATAGGGCCCCTTAATCAATCGCTACACAAATCTACATCCTTATCACCCTCTCGTAAACGAACCTAGCCATGGAAAATGACTCAATCATTTACAGGTGATTTACCTATGGACACTGGTGATTTTCAATAGCAAACTGTTATATCTTTATACCACAGGGTAAGCAAAAGAGGTGGTTCATATGGAAATGGTGATTTCTCTATAAAGGGACTCCCTGGGAAAGGTTCTCCACTTAGGCAGGGCCATCCTTGTTGCATAAAAATCACTAGTCATCTACAGAAATCAACAAAATCCCTATCAAAAATCACTGGTTTTAACCCTATGGATCCAAACACTGTCTGAGAAGGTACTTAAACCCCATCAATCATACCCCAGTCCCACTTCCTAAGATGGTACGGCTGGATCCATAGGGTAAGGGAACCTTCAGCTTCATCCACAGCCATCACTGGGCCATCACGTTCTGCGAACGAGGCACCATTTGGTGATCCATTCGGCTCACGAACATCGAGTGCTGCGGTCCTGTAGCTTTTCGTGCGGGAAAGCCTTGGAAATAGAAGGCTTTAATGGAAACATAGGAAGCTATGGAAGAAATATGGGACAACTCGTTATAGATGGAGGTTTTAATGAGAACATCATCTACACATCTTGGATTTTCCGGGCTGTTTGATTACCAGGATGTGATGATGAACTGTAGGATCTAACCAAAACGCTTGTAATCTGATATTAAATCTGACTCCATTGTTATAGTTCGCCAACCTCAAGTAAGGTTGTTTCGGGAAGATTTGTCCAACTAGTCATGATCTATGGTACGATCTCAGTACAAATGTGGAGTTGTCCAGCAAGCCATGCTTAATTTCAAACACTCAATGTTGTCAAAAACCATCAAATACCTCCAACCCTTTCAAACAAACAAGTGGATGCCTTGCTTGAATTGTCATGAACATAATCTTGTTATAGCTCTATTCACTGCTGAAAAAGACACAGTAAAACAAGCATTTCAACATGAAACACCATTGCAGCACCCCCAAGAAAGATGCAAACAAGTCGAAATGTTAAACTCTACGCCAATTCTACGCCACAAAAAGAAGAAAGGTCAACAATACAAAACACCCCCAAATGTAGTCAAACATGCATTCAAATCCCCCCAACAATCAGCAGGCCTTCCGTGCCCCTCAAGTCCTGGTGCCACGCCCTGGAACACAAAGAGGGGCGTAATGCCAGCCCTGACGCACCGTTGGTTGTCCCAGCATCCACTTCTGGGATTGGACAATCTGGAGATGTGGCTTACTCTATCCATGAGGAGGAAATAAAGGCTTTACAGTAAACAAAGGATGATAAACAGTGAACAATTGAGCCATAAAAAGTAGCCCTATCCCATCTCATGAAATACTAGTTGTTTTTTCTAGGTTTCCGTACTATGGGTTAGTTCTCAGTCCCCAAAACCCGGGTAGCATAACTTCCTTTAATAACCTATGACCTGAGTTATTCTTACTAGCTCAGCTAGATGTTGGACATAGCCTTCACTCATTGCCACTGATCACCAGCACTATCATCTCTTTAGTAAGGGGTTACGATTAACCTTCATTGCCCGTCAGTTGAGGTAGAATTGACTGGGATTTAAACTTCAACAACAACAACAACAACAACAACAACGACAACGACAACGACAACGACAACGAATAGGGGCACCCGGGCGGCGTTCCCTAGAACCCCTTGAGGGTTAGGGAACGCCCCTGACACATCTCGGTTGAGACCGAATGTTGCAGCACGGGAACCAGCAGTGTTGTTGAAAGGAGCCGCGCAGCCCAAGGTGCTTCCAGTGGGCCGGGTGGTTTGATGCGTTCTTTCTGCCAGCGTGTCACAGCATCCGGACGGATCACCTCCAAGTTGTAGGTGAGATGGGGCAACCACTCCGCACTTTGCGTTGCACGCTTTTTGCCGTCCATTTAAGATTATATAATAGTGGGTGACCCATACAAGCAAACAAGTTAGCCTCAAGTAACTAAACCTGACAATAAAACGTAGACTTTATAGAATTAATTTGATGGATGATGGTGCAACATTTTCGTATACAGTACCCTCTGGTAAACTAACATAACTATGGAAAATCACCATTTTTTAATAGGTAAATCAACTATTTCTATGGGCCATTTTCAATAGCTATGTAACAAATTACCAGAGGGTACTAGGGTACATTCAGTATATTCCTGATTGGCGGTTTTAACCATCTTGAAAAATATTAGTCAATGGGAAGGATTATCCCATATATTATGGAAATAGACACATGTTTGAAACCACCAACCAGATTCACATTCAAAGTTGGCACGTTGAGACTTTCCCGCCCATTGTCCACCAAGGAACTCTTTGAACGCATCAAGCTCTTTGTCCACGAAGCCAAACATACCTCCCGGCGTTCCCGTTATCCCCCCATGTAAAAAAGTGGTTAATGTTGAATGGGGGGGATGCCCATCAGCAACAACAGGGCATCACATTGTACCAAATTAGCTATAGATTCTTAGTAATTATCCCATTACAGTGTATTATATCCTCAAAACATGTCTTCTGATATTGATAGCCTCGTGACTCACAGTCAAAAAAAAATCCCATGAAATCCATTGAAATCCAATATCACTTCCATTTTCCCATGATTTTCCCATGATTCTCATGCCAACAACCCCTCCCTTTCTTCCCACCACAGGCCACGGCCACGGCCTGGAGGGATGCCACCCAGGGCATCAGCGAAGGGATCCTTCAGGGCTTGAATGGACCGAAGCCAAAAGACCTCGGGCGTCAGAAGACTCCCAGTGGTCATGACACATTTTTCTCTCATAGACATTAACCATGGTTATTTCATCATAGATGTTAACCATAACCATATAGACTATCATAAATAATTTAAGTGTTTTAATGGAAACCATAGATGTTTCTATCATAGATATTGCCCTCTGGTAAATTAACAGTTGGACCCTGAAAATAGCATATGTTTAATGGAAACTAAGAACCACCAACCCCGACTCATGGCAAGGTCTATGTTAATTTACCGGAGGGTAACCATAGTTAGTAATCATAGATGTTACAGTAACCATATAGACTATATAGATAATTTAAGTGTTTTAATATGTCATTAAAATATAATTAGTAACATATCATATATAATACAAAACATATATCATATATATAATATTAATATATCATACTACAGTAACTACATTTAAATATACGGACTTTTAAACATACGAACAGGTATTGTGGACTACCTCCGGGAAGGTTTTCCTTGGCCCGCCCGGCCATTTAAACATCCGGAATCTAATTCATTTAAACATACCGCAACTACATTTAAATATACGAACTGGTATTTGATACTACCTCCGGGGCCTCGCGGTCTGGCCCGCCCTCCACATATTTAAATGTCGTTACCGTATAGTTAAAGGATCTTTATGCCGGTTTATAAACTAAGAAACTATAGATTATAGATATTAGATAATAGACTGTTTGTTTATAAAGCCGTTAACTATGGATTTAAATTGCAAAGTGATTGACACACTTACTAACTATATAGATATCATGGATATATCATAGATCTACCATAAACCACAAATAGTTTTGTAATGGAAAATGATAGGTTGGTTTATGACCTTTATGAACCCATTACTGTAAGTTTTATCATGAAGGTAGGGGTAATGACTATCACTGTTTGGGTGAACTGTATGTCAGTAAAAAGTAGGTTCAAAAAAAAAAATATATATATGTATATCATATCCACCATAAACTGCATATATATATATACATATCATATCCTCCATAAATGATGTAGTTACCTCGTTGTAAACATCTTACATCCTTTTTTAAACTCCTATCTAGCTTATATACCTGGGAATATGAATGGAATATGTCTATCTACAACTTGCCTCCAACTGGCTTACTAAGATCTTACAATATGGTTACTAATTATATGTGATAGGCTAGGATGTGATTATCTATCTACTATCCTGCGAGCAGATAGCATGTTGGGCCTGGGGACCCACGATTGACCGTAGGACCGTAGTTGAATGTAATTGAGCTATAATCGCTATATAAATCTAAGGGGATGTGCCTCCAAATCGTTTTTTTCCCTGATATAGCATATATCTACATTTAGGTTCCAGAAATTCCATTGAGCACATAAAGTACCCATCCAAGATGTCCTCAGGTTATGTACCAATGAACAAAATCAACATTCAAACATTAAAATCTCCGAACATTGCATGGGAAGACGCGTAACCTTGCAGGATGAATTCACCACCATGATTTGGATCAGCCAAATCAATTGTGGATTGCTTACAGGAAACTCGGGAAACCCATGGCCTTTGAAAAATCATTAAAAGGTCAAATACCTAAATTGGAGATACAGCTTTGCATGTATAGAAACAATGTTTCTGTTACATGGGGTATGTACATAGTCATGTTATGTCATGTTCATCAGGTTTGCACCTAATTCTTGTTGTGGTGTTGGCAACTTGGTGTTTTCCACTGACCTTCCTAAGGTTTTCTGGGTGACCTAAGATTGATCCATCTTACAGGCCCAGGTACCCATTGATCTGCTGAAAAACACCTGAAAAAATCCATCCCGAGTTTCGAGTTTTACTGGATTCCCAGTTTTTGTATAAGCAGCAATAGCTATAATTACCATTACTAATAAACAAAATTGTTGTTTTCCGCTTGTTTTCCCCTAGGTTTTGCTCCAAACCAATCCAGAACAAGTCCAGTTTTTCAAAATCCACTAAGTCCCTTTGATCCTTTGAACCTTGAAATCAATCCATTCAAAACCCCCATTGATCCACCACAAACCCACAACGCGGTCGTTAAGACGAAGAACGGCGTCCACACCCACGTGGACGTTCCGCAATCTGGGCGTACGAAACGCACGATGCCCGTGAGTTGGTCCGTAGGCTCGACAAGCAGCAAAAATTGGGGAAGTTCACAAATTACTCTCTGGTACTAATAGCCCAGTAACTATAGTTATAAGTACCATAAACCATAGTTATTGGAGTTATACACCAACTTAGGGTAAACCATCTATAAATGGGATTTTATAGTGATTCAATGGGATATTAATGGGATATACTCTCTGGTATTGTTAAAATAGTTATGGTATAGATGGCCCATAGAAATGGATGATGTGTCTATTCAAATGGTGATGTTCCAGAGCGAACAACGGTGGTTGAATCGGCCTTAATTTCCGTGTAGTTGAAACGACGTGGCTAGTAGTAGCTTAGTTGGTTGGCATAACTAGGCTAACCATGGCGATCTATATAGAGGATTTATGGTGGATGTATGATGTATCTATAGATCAATAGGTTTTTCCAGACCAACTTTTAACTGCGGGGCCTTGTGCCAAAGTATCAGGCATTTTCTGGATACACGTGAATGTAGAAAACAAAGCACATAGAATAGAACTATAGAACATCATGAAAAACTTTATCAACCACAAACCATGGAATTCAACCAGCAACTACTGGGAAATACTTGGAGAACTTTGGAGAACCAATGATGACCAAGACAAAATCTAACCCATAGGATCCATGTATGCTATATATGGTGACATTTACCATCAATATACCCCAAATGTTAGCATATATGCCATACATGGATCCTATGGGTAATGTTATCTGATGACATATACCCACAATGATGCTACTCAGCTACTCAGCTAGGAGACCTGGGAGACCTACTTGGAGCTGTTCCCGCAGTTCATCGACAAAAGGCTGGGATCTAACCAACCAAAATGAGAAATCATTGCCTCAACTGACTATGGTTGCCAGATATATGCCAAATATTAGATATTAAAAGATATTCTAAGCATTAGATTATATATATAAGATATTAGATATCAATAAAAAAAATAAAATATATTAAAAGATATTAGATTCATTAGATCTTAAAATCAGGATATTCTAAGATATCTACAGTCTTAGGCTAAAACGACTTCCCATGGCCACTTTGGAAGGCCCTGCCCGCGCGGCCAAAAAAACCAGGCACTCATTCAGCTTCCCGGTGTAGACCAGGCCTTGGTCCTGGTTTCAGGGAATTTCTGCTGATTTTAATGGTGACAATGGTGATTTCCATGGTACTTGATGGGGATTTTCTACGATTTATTGGGATTTTCTATATTGATTTATTGGGACTTTCTATGATTTATAGGGATTTTCGAGGATTTTCTGGCATTAGTTCATTTGAATAGGGATTCAACAGGGATGTTATGAAGTTTTTGTTGGCGATTTGTAGTTTTTGTTTCGGGGATTTATGGCAATTCATAGGGTTTGAACCAACAAAAATGGGGATGTGAATGGGAATTACCCTCCAGGAATTTAACACTTTGCGAACCGGTACAGATGGCCTATTTGTGGCATCTATACTTCGAATGATTTAGCCATGCAACTTCCATTGCGATTTTCCAGTTCGCAAACTGTAAGAAATCTCCAGGGTTTAGGGGTCTTATGAAGCTATTTACACATGTCCACCATTTGGGGGGTAAATGTTAGTCGATGTTCCAGCACCAGGGGGCAAGCAGGTACGATATGTCACAATAAGACCACTTGATGAATCTCCAGTTGTTCCTTTTGGTGAATGCCAGTTAATCCATTCTGATTGAAGTTTATTGGTGAAAACAACTCAAACATCGATGTTTCTTTAAGATGATTCCCATCCTCATATGTTTTGTTCAACCACTGATGAGCCGCAAAGGTGAGAAAATCGCACAGGGTATGCACCAAATCTGGCCAACCAGCCACCCCAAGCCTGGGCCTGGAAATGATGTTTGAACAAGATAGACAAATAGATAGCACATGACATATTTATGCGGTATCTATGCGTTGTATATATATATATATATATATTATATGTATATTTATATATTTATGTCTACTAATATCCCATGAAGCTGCCACGCTGACCCCCTCAGCCCATCCCTGGCCTGCAAATGAGTCTGGAGATGTCTGACACGCATGGTTTTTATCGCGAGCACCTCAAGCCCTGCGCCTCCTGTGAACTCTACCGCTGCTGCTGTCGGTTTTGTCGCGATCAGCACTTGAACCGAGAAGCCACGGCCATGGATCCGGCTCAAGCGATAGTGATCTGTGGCGAACTAAGACATGGGAAACTTCCCTTGTTGATACCTTTACTACTTATGTTGTAAGTTGTGACTATCAAGTTAATTGGGGCTAGGTTCTCTGTTAATACCTTTAATTTCACGAGGTTGAAATACGCACCATGGAATCACAGTATGGCATTAAACAATCCACCCAACAGCAACTGCTGGTCGTTCCGCATGTTCTTTTGTGGTGTACCTCTAAGACATCTTATATATTTAGTACTGTCGCATTACTTCATATTAGTATTAAACAAAAACCACCGTGGAAACCAGAATGATCCAGATTGGGGGGATTTGACATCAACAAACATCAACAAACATATGGGGCCATATATTCTGGACGCTTAAGGATCCCACAATCAGACCTTTTTTGAGGTTGTACTGAGATGATTCTGGAAGCCCAAAAATGGCGAGCCCTTAACTATCTGGCAGAAAAACACAGCTTATACCCAAAGCATCCACATTTGATTGGAACCTCGTAAAGAAGGATCCCAAGATCAGGCATTGGCGAGGGTCCACGAGGTACCCTGAGGTACCCAAATTTGATGGCCCAAGAATCTTTAATGCGATTGCACTTTTCAACCCATATTTCCCCGTCAACCCTGGTTTCGTCGGAATTCAACCTCAATGACAATAAAAATAATACTTTCATCAGAAGAGCTGTGTTGCTAGCCGAACTTCAGAACTTCAGAATTAGGGCAAGCCGTAACCTCTACCCTATGCAAGGTACTTGAATACAATAAACCATGCCGGATTCATCTCAACGCTGTGGACAAGAAATGTGACCCGTTTCCTACCAGTTTCTAATGGCGCATATATATTGGCGTCGCCAGAGTTTATTGAATTTCAATACATGCTTCGACATAGTTTTTCTCCCTGGTAAAAGACAGCATCATAATTGTTTGCAAACAAATAGTCTTGAAACTTTCAATTTTGATAGTGAGGAGGGCGGAATATTCTTCGCATTGCCTATGCCTACATGTTTATAAAACACATGCTCACAGACAGTGGTCCAGACGGGCAGCATCATGCACTACAGGATTAGGAAGAAACGCATTCTGCATGTAATTACCTGCTAGCAGTACTGATTTGATTCCTGACGTGCACTTTTTGAGGGAATGAACTCGGTAGAAGGAAGTGTCTGCATTGATGCTGGTGTGCCCAACCATCCACAAAAAGTATCCCAGTACACAGTTTTCTGAATGTTTTTTTTCACTTGCTTGGACAAATATCACCTTGTGCGTTTGAGTGTGTGTGTGTGTGCGTGTGGTGTGTATGCTGATTGCCAAGCTATTTTGAATAAAACCCCGCGCAATCAAAACGCGAGGCATTTTACAAAGGAAGTCAAACGCAACCCATAGGGAGTTTCCTTAACTTGGCATTGGCGCCGTTCTGATAAACCAAAATGATGTGAAAAAGGACGTCGCTTGTTTTTTTTTAAATAGCAGTTCAAGCAAAGTCTGGAGTCTAGTTTGTGTGCGTCTGCAATGGTCACGAAACTGAAAGGTGTGCTCTCAAGCTTTATTGACGGAGCGTTTGTTTCAAAGACGTAACACAGAAGAAATATGATTGTAACTGGGCTGTTCTAGGCAAGTCTAACTTGATACGACTTCAGCAGACTCCATCAAAAAGTCGATTCAGTGGTGTTTGTCCTATTAAACATGCATATATATATATATAATAATTATTGTTATTATATATATATATATACATACGGGCTTTGTGTTTCCAATTAAAGAAGGGCCTCCAAATAAAGACAATCTTGCAACTTATTTGAACCCTATTTAATTTTGGAATCCAGGCAACCTGAGTGAAATAATTGACAGCCTCATATGACGTCAATGCACTAAACAATGACTACAATTTTCTTTTGGTGGACTAGTTTGTCACGAGCATCCTATCAACCTTGACTGCTGAGCAAACAAGCAAGGAATTAAAATAGAAAAAACTGCAATCTCCAAATGTCTCCAGTGCGGCTGCTTTGTACTGCAAATCAACGAGTCCGAAAGAGAGCGGGAGTTTCCATCCTTGTTCAGGTTCTTCCAGGTGGGGTCCGATGTTTTCCGATGCTTTCCGATGTTTCCCCATGCTTTCCAATATTTCCAGATGTTTTCCGATGCCTTTCCGATGCCTTTCCCGTCGTCGCGGGACGTCAAAACAAATGCATTTTGAGGGGTCACTACTTCCTTTCCGATGCCTTTCCGATGTCTTTCCGATGCCTTTCCGATGTGTTTTCGATGCTTCTGATGGCATTTCGGATGTTTGCAGTGCGCTTTCCGATGTTTCCAATGTTTTTCTGTTTTCACTGAATGTCCGCTGTTTCTCATGTTTCGAATGCCTGACTGTAAAGATCTGTAAAGGCAGGGGCGCCATGTTTTCTGATGACACAGGCGCGGGTTTCATTTCGGAAAAAAACTGTGGGTTTCCTCAGATTTTTGCAAAGTCCTGGAATTCATTTTTTTCTGCTTAAGATGGAGAGGCCTGCTTTGAAGGTAAATGGAAGACAGAACGATATCTTTTTTCTTGACAGTTTTTGAGGCCTCCATTTTTCTAAGCAACTTGCATGTGTTCCTTATCCATGCGAATTGCAGCACTTTAGAGTATTTTTTTTCGCGCCATTGCGAGTCCATTGCGCACGCTTAAAAACATGCAATCAAACTAATATCATATGGTATGCAGCCAGAATTGGATTGAAATTTAGTCATGCATCTATACCGGTAAAAACTTGATTTGTGGCGAACTTCCCAGAGTTGGATTATGCAAAGTTCAGTATTCTTTGGCTGTTCTGCCCAGCGAAAAGAGGAAATCGGAGACATTGATTGTTTGATCTTCAAAATGTCCTATCCAAAAATTGGACTATAGAAACGCCTCAACTCCTAGAGCCTTTATCAGCTTTGATGTCCACCATATTCTTGAACCTTACGTGATAATACGGGCTATGCTTTGATCGATACATACTGGTTTGTTTAAGCGATTAATTACTCGGATATCAATTGCTTTGTAATTAGCTAATTGTTATTTTTGTCATTGTCAGGATGATGTCATTTAAAATCATTAATGCATTATTTTGCATATTATGATAAAGATACTTGTGACACGGCACAAGTCGCGAGGGAAATAACGCACAGCAATTTAATAATTATGTTGTTGAATTAATGTATATTGCTTTTCAAACCAATCTTTTTGTTCTGGCCATATGGTGGTTGAAATGTGTCTGGTGTTCAAAAATACCTGGAAACTTGAACCATGCAGCAAAAACGGGTGACTTGCTTTGCAGTCGCGCATTCTCAATAAAACATCATCAAACACATGCCTTTCAAACAAAGCCCGCTAATTTCTACCTGCTAGATGGACATGATTCCATCAAAGCACTCCCCATTTTCCACTCGAACTATCAATCTCACAGAAAAACTTCGATCTGACTATGTCCATGTGAGCATTTGAAAATGTGTCTTATATGATCTTAGATGTTCTTTTCTTTCTGCTGGAAACTCTAGGTTCCACAATGTAACCAATTTCCCTCTACTTCCGTTGGACAGCTTCGATGTTTGCAGGTCATCCAGCCAACTAATCGGGTTATTTGCACAATGGAGCGGGCATTTTGCCATAAGAATTCAGGATCAAGAAGGGGTTTGAACAACTGGGTCTATCTATAGAGACTGTGGTCTCATTCTACCTGACGCAGACAGGAACGTACCAAAATTGACTACAACATACTACAACCAACAAATATGTAAAGCACACTATATCACACTTAGAAACCCACCTTCCAAGCACCCTCGGGACGTCGCGACCCCTCATGACCCCTCGTGACCCCTCGCGACCCCTCGTTTCAATTTGAACGAGGGCCCCGACCCCTCGCTCAGAGGCTCGAGGGGTCCGACCCCTCCCAACGAGATCCCGACCCCTCGCAGCGAGAGCCCAAAGATGCTTAGGGTACAACCTTTTCCATGCCGTAAACCACATCGAAACGTAACGTATCACGATTCGTAGGATTTTCTGCCGTTCCAACTCTGTGGGGCGGTTTTTGTCACCATCCGGAAATCTATCAAGATGGCCATGGACAATTCCACTATTTGTAGATGATTTGTCCAACATCCAAAACATATCGAAACATCCATTCATCATGGTTTCTCCTGTATTTTCTCTATTCATCATTGTTTTTCCTATATTTTCTCGCTATTGAATGGGTTTCTCCTATATTTTCTCGCTATTTTCCTCATCAACGTTTGAGGACACCGTAGTAGCTACCTGCCATTTGTCACCCCCTGGGGCTGATGCTCTTTCCGTCGATTGACCTCCACCTGCCAGGGCCAGGGCCTCCATTTTTGATGGGCATTTACCGTGGGAAAATGGGGATTTCATAGGAAAACCCCATGGGAAAACCCATGTGAAAATGGTGGTTTTAAGAATGGTTAATAATTAGTGATAGCTGGTGATTTCTATGGTGAGTAAGAGTGGTTAATAATGGATATATAATTAGTGGCTAATAGTGATTTTCATGATGGTTAGACAAGGGTGATTTCTATGGGATTATACATTCTATAAACCGGGTGATGTTAGTACTTATAACTGGTAATGGAGTGAAAGTCAATGGGAAGGATGATATCCCATCTATGAAATGGAAAATAACATCCATGTTCCAAACCACCAATCAGATATTTCATTAACCACCATTAACCATCCAGTTGGTTTCCCCAGTTCATATCCCATTCATATCCACTATCCATTGGTTAACCACCAATCAGATATGGTTCAGTCCTCCATCGACAATGGATACGATGGATTGGGGGTGACCAACCGACCAACCGACCAACTTTTTTTGGTCATTGAAATCCTGTCGGGACGACGTGGCACAAAGGCACGTGACGTGCCATGATATTGCCAGTGGTTTATGAATGGTTATTAATGAGGGGTGGGATAGGTGATGGATTGATAT